TCACACACTGACACTGGCACACACAATCACACAGGCTGCTTTGCGGGTTGTGTTCACAAGATAGAACGTGCAAACCTGCCAGATAGGTGTGTGAGAACACACTTTGCATTTTGTTCTAAAATGTAATTGGGGATTAAAATGTAAATGTAATTTTCCTGCATGAAAAGACAGAGTTAGCAACTTGTCTCCCACAGCAGCCCAGGTATTATTCCATGTAATAATGGAAGACAGCAAAGACAGAGGTCATGAGAATTGGTCACTGCAAAGGATCATTGGCTCAAAGTACAAAATCCCATGGTCTAGTCATGTGCCAATGAATCTTATCAAGTACAACACACATACGGGACCTAGGCCCAAGGAAAAAAATAAATAAAAGGAAATTATAGGAACACTAGCAGGTTCATTTTACTTTAAACAACTCGTGAGCCAGCCTGCGAGCGAGGGGAGAGAGAGAGAGAGAGAGAGAGATTGTGATAAAGCAAGAGTAAATAAGACAAGGAAATCCTTATGGACTGACTGTCTGCAGTGGTGTGTTCAATATCCCATTATTGTGTAAGATGAATTGCAGAGCCTTCTGTTATTCATCAGTTCTTCCTTTTTGATGAGCAGCACACTCATTTATAATGTGGTTATGTCCACTATTCGTAACCTGTAAGCAACTTTTGTCACATGTTCTCACAGGCATAATTTCTAAAACATTTCCATCAACAACTTATATTTGTCTAAAACCATTCCTATAAAACATCTCAATGGACTTGACAAAATACAGAGGTGCACACCAGGAAGAAAATGGAAGACTTAAAAGATCTTGGCCAGAAGAGCTATGTTTTTCAAAGTTTCTGGAAATAGGGAGAGACAACTTTGCATTGCAATTGATTCTGTAAAACGGTTAAGTTAGCAATTCAACTTTCATGTTTGAATTGTTGATGAGCCGTGCAAACTGCAATGTCGGCTTGAAAACACTAAATTCAGCCAGAGGAAAGAGAAAATAGAAATTTATCATCTATGTGATCAGTTTGCAATTATTCAGTTGTACTTTTACTCATCTTTTTGTTTTCAAAAAGCGAAACAAAATTCAAGCCTAAGGCACAATAAGAATGACAATTAAATTATAGGAATAAAAGGTACTAGAGATCACCTGCCATTGCATTGCTGCCTGCATTGCACTTCACATTTTCTTCTTTTTTTTACTTCCAATAGTTGCTCTTTGATGATTCAACCTATTTGTTTCAAAAACTTTTTTTTCCCCAGTTATCCTCCGATTCATTTTCCTATTTATTAACAAGTTGGGAATATCTTGGAGTTTTTCTTATATTAAAAAAATTCCACCCACGTCTTTTCCATTCTGCTCTGATCATTTTCTCATTCTCTCTTTAGTGAGATGCGGAGAATGATACACATCACTAACTCCATTTTAACGAGAAATACTGAAAGAACCTCTCCCACCCCCAAGGTAATCTTTGGGATCCTGGCAGAGGGCTCAGATTTTCACAAGGACTTTCAAACACGATAGGAGAAATTCCTTCTTGGTCTGGGCTTGATTTTACTCTTAACATTTCAGTTTGTGCACATTTTGGACAATTCGTAAGGAAATTTCGTCTTAATCCTGAAGCCTTTGCCTGTAAATTCTTTTTCTTCAAAAAAATAATACCCCTGAAATGCTAAGAATCATGTTCAGCAGAAAACCCAGCGGAATTTCTCCCCCTTGGCTCCTTTTCATAAGCCTGACACGAAGAAAGCAAAAAAGCACTCCAAGGCTAAAAAAGTAAGGTGCAGTCAAGCATTCGGAAATGGTTCAGTACATTGAAACACAGTGCTGGAATGGAATGGCTGGCATATTGACAAGTTAGGTAAAGCCTCGCTCANTTGGTTTAAACCAAAACAAAATAATTTTTACCCATGCATTTATCCGTCATTAAAACATCATCATTATCCACTCACCGCTGTGTATTCTTCCAATTAGTTCATATGAAATATCCAAGATCATCAATGTTGGGTTAAATGAGTGGGTTGCATGCATCAAAATAACAGTTGCAAGCATAAATCCTTAAAATGGAACTGGTTTCTTGTTCATCAAGGCACTTATGTGGAATTGTGGCTGAATCACTCATGCGCTTAATAGATCTAAACTAACTTGGAACTGTATACATCAATGTCATATTTCCCTGACAATCTATCTGAACATACTGGTTTATCCTACAGGAAACAAAATAGTAACAGTGAATCAGGCGTTAAGTTCAGTGAAGTATGATGTCTAATATACTGTTGCACGAAGGATTATCACAAGCGGACTTGAAACTGACAGGATAACGGACGTCAAATACAAAGGAAACTTGACAACCGGTCATTCTTACTGTTTGCCATGCCAGATTGCATCTACTTTTTCCAATACAAATGACATCAGTGATTTATGACCAAACTATGAAAAGCTATCAAAGTTTCATGTAGACAAGTAAATATTTGCAGTCAGATCAATAATGCAGTTGGCCATTTGTAAATTCAATTAACAAAATACTACATAAAAAACAGGGGAAATATATAAACCACGTACTTTCAATTCAAAGGAAATAAAAAATGGTTTTGTGGTAAAAAAAAGCATTTCCACTATTTCATCAATAGGTCCAGTGAGCAATATCTCAAACACCATTGTTCAAGACTACAGAATAAAATATAGTTTGAAACTTTTCTGAAACACTCCCTTAAAACTCTACGAAATTGTAGTTAGTGAATGTTCAACTATAAGAGTAAAGATTAAGAACAGGTTTATCGTTAACTCTTTCACCCTTTAGTTTTGATAATATAGATGCTCTTGAGAAGGATACTAAGCTCTTGACGCAGTGAAGGTGCATGCTAGTTTTGACCTCTTTAATTCTCTAACATTCATACCGAACTGTACTCATTTCTTTCACAAAAGCAGCAGCTGCGAAATATTAAGATCACGGTAACAAAGAAATACTGGTCAACACTTTTGTAAATTACCACGTGGTTTAAAAAGGAAAATAATGATGCTGAATCAAATTATTTTAACACCCAACTCAGCTGAGGAGATTTATTACCCTCCGATTTTCTCTCCTCCTGAAGACACAGACTTTGCTGCAGTATGGTTCAAAGGTGCTGGTTATCCACTGGTACTTCACCCAGTAGATATTCTTCATGCTTGAGCCTAGACATTGAGTGCTAGGAGACTATTGAACCATGGCAGCCATCACAACCGAGCCTGATCTTGTGTTTTTTCACTTGACAATCAGACACACCGTTTCCAGCACAGAAGCACAAACAGGGGAATCCTCTCTGACCTTTTCCACATTAGCCCATTGATATTCAGGTCAACTGGGCAGCCGTGATGTTCAGCTAACTCGAAAAAGAAAAGGGCGCTTTGCTATCTGTATGGTTTAGTTTCACTTCATGCAGAGGCTTTCCCAGCTAATTCATTGAAGGAGCTTGAGGATATAGCTTAAATAACATGCATTGGATGTAAAATCTCTCAAGACGTTATGCACCACCCTGCTCCATCTGCCTCTCACTAATTCCCAGGCTATGACATATGCTCCGAACAGCCTTCTTTTCAGGCAATTACCCAATTCCATTTGGCTTCTCTGCGAAAACTGTCAGCAAACACTCTGTAACACTGCACTGGCGTGCCAGTGAAATTAGTCAAAAAAAATTCTGTTTACAAATTTCAAAAGTCCAAACAGAATTGCAATCCCTCACTTAACATTGTATTTAATGAACCCATGAAGATAATCTGTTATAGTATTATCCGTAATCATACATCACAGTTAGATGTATTTTCATATAGTTATCTACTGTTTGTATACACCGGTCTAGATTATTTGCAGGAATGTTTGCTAAACAAACAACTTATCCCTTGAGCTTTATTTCAGTCACTGCAATTATTAAACCATTTTGATTCCTTGTAGGAGATGCTGCCCAAATATCATCCAGCCATTAAAAATGTATTTTCGCACAGTTTCTGTTGACTCATCAACTTTCAGTCCAAGGAAGAAGCTAATATTTTACATAGATGGAACATCCTTTCTGAATTCCATATGGTGATGAATGGCAATGCACAAATTTCCATCTGTCTGCTTATATGCGCTGAGGTATGACAATATTTGGACCAGGTTGCATCTGTATAAATTATCAGTCTAAAAAGGACAAATGTCACTGCAGTTGCAATCACTTTGCTCCTTTCGCCTTCTTTCTTTCCCCCTCCCTATTAAAAAAAAAGGTAATGTTGGCTCTTTTACTTGAATTAAATAAATTATTAGGTCCGAAAGGCTGTTGCTATGTTATTTTTGTCAATACTGTTACGAAATGGGTGTGAAATCAAAACATACCTCAGGTAGGGCAAATAATTTGGGGGAAACTCCTGCCGTGAAAAAACTCAGTGGATTCCAAATGTAATTTTACATTTACTAATTTCATGCTTCCAATGTTAATGCTCCCATTTAGTACCAACTGTCTCCCCCCTCCCTGCCCTTTTGAATGAATTTAATATTTTGCACATTGATAAAAAAAATTGAACACATGTATTTATTTGTGCGTAACAAAAGCATTTGTCCGTCAATCTGTCATTCGATCAACAGCAGTGGAAGGGGGGGGGGGGGCGGGGTTGAGATAGATTCACTAATTTTAACTGTTTTTAGGGAATATTCTAAAACTAATAGAGATGGCTTCTCAGAGAGAGGAGATGAAACTCCATGAAATCATAGATAATAGGAAAACAACTTTTTTTGTTTGTAACAGTTATTGGTATTAAATCAAAATAAAAAGTCCCACCAAATTGAACAGTCTACATACTTGATATTCATAGAACTATCAATGAGGACCCATATATACTTTTCTTCATAATCCATAAAAGATCTGGATTTACGGGCACCTTCAGTATTTGTGTGTTACCATATCTATTCATTCATAAACAAAATAAATCATGGTCCCCAAATACCATTCTCCATTCTGATGCATTGTGAGGACAACTGGTACCATGAATGCAAACATATTGACAAACATTTATTCAAACATAGCAAGTAGGTGTATGCAGACCTGCAACATCTGAGCACAGAATCTTTACTGTATACTATAAGTCTGCTTCGTGTTGTTAAACGATATTGTTATAACCAGGGCCCGAGGATCTTTTTTATTCTTGGCACAGGTAACCTTCCCTCGAATGATGTCACCTAAGGAAAACAGAAATATATTACTGTACATTGATGGAAACAAACCCAAAGGGGAAACAAATCAATATGCAAAGAGTAGGATGTGTTGGTGAGAATGCCAAAAGCCAATGGGCAGGATTAAACAATCTTTACATTTAATAATAACAATAATACATTTAATGCAGCACCGTTCATGCTGGGAGGATGTCTCAAAGATCTCCACAAGATACATTGCAAAATGTAGTGCCTGTGTATTTTGTAGACAAACGGATTAAAAGATGAATAATTATTAAATATTTCTTAAGTATTATTGCCAAGAGCCTCATGTGGAAAATGTTATTTGTTTCAAAGCAGTCTCTTTATTAAACATTAGACATAATGATTGTGTATTTTGTTTCACTCACAAAATACACAGTCACTCCACTTTACAATATATTCTGTGAACCTCTTTGAGACATCTCTATGACAAATGATAGGACAGTCACACACAAACATAGTTTGATCCATACTATAAACATACAAATTCTGCTACTCTAACATTCTGCAAGCCTATTTATTGCGTAAGATCACTATTTACCACTATTAACATTTTTGATTAAATGGATCATTTAAACTCTGAAGTGAGAAGCAGAATGTATAAGTTCTTTGAGAAAGTAAATCATATGTGCTGTTACTGTTCATAAACAGATGGCTATCAAAATCATATGGTGACAATAAAACACATATCAGCAAGCAAAAGTCTACTGAGATAATTACTTAATTATGCAAGCATCGCCAGAATGATGAACTACTGTTTGTTCTTTATAATAGAAGTGCTTCTTCACAGTTTTGTTTATCCCTTCCAGTTCAGTAACAGCTGACATACCAAGGCACTGCTTTAAATCACTTCCAAGCCTTTAAAGAGAAACTGTTTTTTTCCCGAAATAGTGCAAAAAGAAACACAATGATTTGCATATTTGAAACATGGGCCAATATGGCTCTGTGTGGTAAACATGCCATGATTTTTACAAGCTGGTTAGCGAGAGATTACAGAGACATTTCTTTGCTGGATCGGCTGTAAGGGAAGAGCTCTGACCATTACAACTTTGCAATAAAATGGATTTGCTGTAAATGTCTGTTATACAAACGTAACTGAATAGTTAGTGGGTGGATCTGAGTGTCGCCTGAGAGCACAGAGATAATACATCATACAGTGTGTTGGTATGCCATGCACAACAGAAGGTCCTAGGTTCCATCCCCAGTCTGTACCAAATTAAGCTTTATCTGCACTGGTGCAGCACTGGGGTCATTAAATTCAGCTTCAGGACAAATAAAGACCCTGCCAGGAATACAGGATTGGCAGCACACTGGATTAGCAAACTGAACTTTCACTTCTCGACCCAAGTTCGAATCAAGCCCAAGACAAATGAGGTGAAAGTCTTCTCTAATTTTAAGGAGTAGTTTTAAACGATACTAATTTGTCACTTATGGCTGAAATGATAACATTTTACAGCACTAAAAAAATCCCACGTCCTGATGAGCACAAAATGCAATGACTCCCCCAAAAGTTTTAAAAGGTGAATTGTTTTGTTCTAGCAATGATTGCATCTTTATATAAACGCCTTTAGGTTCCGTTAAGGAAATCAATTTTGTGGAGAATTAATAAACTGCAACAACTCAGTAAGGCCATGTATGAGTCAACACTTGCCACTAGGGATTACATGCAGTTCTTGACATATGAAAATTGCTTTGAGAAAACAATATTACAAGTTTGGCAGTGGCTAAACAACATCAAAGCTCATCATATAGCAAATTGGACAGAAATGACAACACTATTAATGGAAATGTTATTTCATTATAATGCACAAATCCTGACATTTGTGAAGCATTAGAAATTGTTTTAAAATGCAGGAGCAATTTTAGTCTCTTTGACCGTGCCTTCAGCTCCCCTCTCGACTCTCTTCCCCCTCCTCGCTCCCTCCCTTCCCTCCCCTCACCCTGACCATTTCCCCCCTGCTCGGGTCATGACCCAACTGTGCAGCGCCTTGGGACGTCCTCCTGACGTGAAAGGCGCTTTATAAATGGAATCTTGTTGTTGTTGTTGTAGTCATTATTTTTCTTTTGCCCGAGAAAAATCATGGTTTGTTTCAGAAAGATCCTGATTCTCAGTCCAGAAGAAAAGTCTGAGAACTCTCAGCTGGTGCAGTGCACCAAAGATTGTAATGTACTTTTTTTGTGGGTCTGAACAGGCTTCATCTTAACTGGTTCCCCATGGAGTTCAGATGGTTTATAGAAAAGTGGCTTCTGCAGCACAAGGTTCTGAGATTTTCTTTTAGAGAAATATGATATCTTCAGGTTTATAGTTTTGTCAAACCAAAGCATTGCAGTGGAAAGAATGTAAGGCAACAAATAACTGGTGTGTTTCTCTGCGCTTCTGTGTCAATTAGGCAGTGGCAGGCTTTTTGTGTGTACACACACACACACGTCTCTCTGCTCTTTGGGATCTTTTCCTCTCTTGTGATTTCCATCTCGCTCACGACACCTTCCATCTGTGTTTCTATCTCCAATTTTACTCAACTCACAGAACAACTGTAGCAGACCCGACTGCCTTGAATCGACATATTGGGAGCAACGGTTTAAACATCACACACGCACCGAGTGTAAACTATAAGATGCTACATGTTTCATTGCGCACTCAAATTCCCCAGTTTCTCAATGCGGGAATTACAAACTGTGCTTCTAGTATAGTGGTAGTCCTTCACTAACTAATTGCGTAACATTCTGGTGGAGCAAAGAAGTCAAATTCCAACCTTCTAAACAAGCAAATGATCAGATGGATGATGATGGGAACCCTACTGAAATACAGGCCTTGATGTGTACACTGAATCCGATTCTTGATGTACTTCAATGCGATTCACCATTATATAGCTAAATGCTAAAACAGTGAAAGTAAATACATGGGGAAGGAGAAAGGAGCAACAAATAATTTTCTGGAACAAGAACAAGTGGTTGGATTAGGTCTGGTTTACCCAAATAATCTATTTAGAAATGGCATTCAAAGGCCAAACCCATGAGAGAATTAGATTTAACATTGTAAGAGGAAGAATATTAAAAGAAAAGCAGGATGTTGGAGAGGTAGCTCCAATGGAAGAGTGAGCACCTGCACTGGATCGATGAGCCAAATGTCCTCTCCTTGTGCATAACCGTCCAAGGTTAGAAATCTATGATCGGAATCCATGCAGCCAAAATCCCAGCTTGGATTTGAAAATAACCTTGCAGCTTGATTTCCTCATTTAATACAGCCAGGTTTCTGAAGTGGGCAGATGTTTCCCCAAATTGTTCCAATTGATTTTATTGTTCCCCCCCAAAAAAAAATTCTGTACTTATTTAAAATGCAGTCATGGCTGAAATTCCAAGATTAACCAACATATTTGCTGAGCAGAGACTTGTATAGGTGACCACCAGAATGTTAAAATAATTCAGTCATTTAGCTTCTAAAAATGGCCAAAAGCCAATTTGCCAAGGATGGAAGCAGGTCGTTTCACTACATTAAGCAAAATCATGAATGTGAACGTGTTTGGATCAATTTCAATTACATAAATCCAATTCCAAAGTGAAAGTAAGCAAGATCCACTCAATAAATAGAGCAAATTACCGAGAATTAAAAAGGAAAGCAGTGGCTTTCCTCGCTCAGAGAAAGCGATAAAAAAAATAAAAGGTGTTGATAGAGATTACTTATTTTGCATCTTGTTGTAATTATAATGTAAGAGGACATTACTGACAGTGAGGACGAAGGTAATCTCTCAGCTACAAGCGCCAACAGTGCCACTTTGAGTGACAAATAGCATCTTTATTACCTGCCCTTCAATACTAGGTCACCCAATAAAATAAAGGTTGTAGTGCATCAATTATCTGGCATTGTCACCCCTAGACTGTGTGTGCTACTCTCTCTAAGCTGTTCAATAATGCTTTTGGTGTTGGTTGAAGGGTAAGCAGGTAAGATTGTAAAGTGACTTATGGATCAGCTTTGTTTAACTGTTGTGGAATGAGAGAATGCAAGAATCAATTGTCAGATTTCACATTTCAACCAATTTACCAAATGGCATCCTCATCCAATAGGTCATCCAAGTTCACACTTTTCGCCTACAGATATAGCAATCAAAAGCACAAAAGTTGGCTAATTCTGTTCCCCTCCCTCGACACCAAACTCGACAGAAACTGAACCTTGGTCCTTCTCCTTACCCGCTCCTCCGGCTGAATAATCACGGCCTTTAAGTTTGTGATCACTTCATTCTACACCTATCCCAGTGACTGCAAATTACATCACCAAACAGATATTGTATCTTTGGCAAATTTACTGAGTTTCATGGGTGAAGGCATTTGATATTCCTTTGTAAGGGGGAAACATCATTGGACTTGGGGCCCTGATCCTGGAGCAAGGACCGAGGAAGGGAGAGAACATCAACAACAACTTGCATTTAAATAGCGCCCCTCATGCAGGTAGCAGCCCAGAGCATCAGGCAGCATCCCTGCTGCCGAATGCTATTAAGTAATTCCTGCTGGAAAGTGTGCACATGGGGATGTAGAGTAAGAAAATTGGCTGCAATGTCCCGTTAAAATTGCCTGCTGATAATCACTGTCTGAGCTCATACATGAAGAACGGCCACAGGGGCAAAGCATGGGCTGCTGGCGCCAGTGGAACCTTAACTCAACAAGAGTCAGTGTCTTCAGCAGAGAAGTGGAGAAGGAAAGAAGATAAACAAAGGGCGGCTGGGAGTTTATCAATTTCACACAGCAAGTGCCTGAAATGTGTAATATTGACATGGTCATCAGGTTTTGCAGACTAAATGTGGCTGCTTTGGAACAAATCATCAATCGTCAAAATCCTCAATGGATCCTGGTTTTTCCACCTTCCAGAGTGACCATTCCTTCAAAAGAGAAAGCACTGACTTTCAAACACTGCTCAAGGCAGGTCTGCTGACATGCGAAGGATAATGTGAAATTACAGACACTGCATGTGTGTGTGTGTTTTAAAACACAAGAGAAAATCTATGCCAAGGTTTTGATTAAGAGTAAAACATTAAATTAAGATCGATGCCTGCAATTAAAAAATATAAATTCTCCACTTTTAAAACGCATCAGTGTGACTGTGGGAAGAGTGATCCAAGAAAGAAAAGCACATCTATCTTCCGCAGAGTTCGACCCTTCAACTTAAATTAGCGGAAAACGACTAGATAAAAAACAATCATGGGCTAATTCACAGGCTACAAGGCAACCTCATCTGCTCCCTGGATGGGTGGGTGTGCGTAGCACATTTTCAGAAGATATTCTCCTCGCTGGATTTAACAGGACCTGCATAACACAGGGGTTGATCAGAGCAATTTGTCAATGTCATCTTGATATAAAATGACTGATGCTTTTCGCATCTCTGCTGCTTCTGTACACAGAGTGCAGGGTCTCAATGGGGCTTAGTTTCGTCACTCTTGTCTTATCGCACCCCTGCGGCTGTAAGTACATCGCACAGTATTGCTGCATTCAAATTAACGTGGAAATGGAAATTATTAAAAAGACTAGAAAGCTGTTGAAATCCATACTAAAGAGACAGCGACCACAACTTGTTCTCCCGGTGTGAAGAACACTGATCGAGACCTTCACAAGAGAGTACACTGCAGAGGCATCAAACATTATAGGCAGCACTACATATGCATCACTAAGCAACAAGGGGTATTGCGATCTTGTGGCAAGCTGGGATTTAAGTGAAACAGTGGGCAGGCACAAAGCCAATGAAGGATGTAAAATCTCAATTAAATGACTAATGCCACGAGAGAGATATTCAGATCAAAGCTGTGCTTCAGAGTGGAAAAATATACTCTATTCAGGATGCATGTTCAATTCAAAATCCACTTCTATAATTAGATCATGGGAAGCGTACTTGAACATTATAGCAATTATCATTTGAAAATGGCCCAAAAAAGAAAAAAACATTAGACATGCCAGAACTATCAATAAGCCATCTCATCCTTCGTTCCCCATTGAGTACATGTTAATCAATACAACCCCAGACGTCAAACTGAAACAAAAATCCTAATTCACAGGCAGTGAATGTGAAAACTAAAACCAAATCACTACAACGAAAAAGCTTGACTTGTGAAAGTAACCTGACAAGTTTGTTTTACTGCTTTATTGATAGTAAATATTCAAACCGCAGTATACTGTGCAATCTCTCAGGACTAAAGATACATTGCACTTTATTAGAGGCAGAACTATGGGGCACTCCAAATGGTAGCTATCAACTAAAACATATTCAAAGTAGATTATAAAATATTAAAATGTAACTGGGCTTTAGGCAAAGTGGAGCAGAGTCGGGTGGATGTGGGTGCTGCCAGTAGTGTAACTTCATGTTGCTGACCCACAAAGCTCAGCATCATCTGAGGCGCAAATTGCAGGTATTAATGTCCTTGCAAACTCGACTGCGTGGCTCGTGCATCAGTGTAGCTGATCTTCCGCAAATTGCCTACTTGGTGCAATCATTTCAATTATTTTGGACCCGATACTCATTGAGCCACAGGAGTTTATTTTACTTGGATGCTCTTTTGAAGTGCTAATTTGATGTCTCATGAAACAGCAGTGGAAGGCTTCAGTTAGAGAAACTCTCCCATAGAAAATAAAAAGGTCTTGTCATTGACATGTTTCTTGAATGCAGGCATCTGAGAAAGTTGTCTGTGTTTGTCTATGTGCGTAGCACTAGGATGATTTTATTTCCAATTGTTATCACGCAGCCAGCCTTCATTTCCAGATTTTAAGACTTTTAAATCGATGAAATTTGTTGACAGTGAAAACGTCAATGTTTCTCCCTCAAGTCATTGCATTAACAAAAGGAAATCTGACTACATTTCATCGGACTATTCAATTAATCAATTAATTTTGCTGCATTTTATGTGCCTCGTAAAGACTTCTCAAGCTACCGAGGTCACATTAAAACAATGTGGTTTAACCCATTCACAGACACAAATCTTACTATATAAAGCTTCAAATGCACTCTGGGGTTCACTGCCAAAGTCTTAGTTTGTCCTACTGTCATTTCTTTGCTCTTAATCTGTTTTCTTTTAAAAACAGATGTTGGCATAGAGCATCTGTTTTATATTTCATAAATTCAAGTCACCTTAAACAGTTTTTAATGGTAATTACAAGGACAAAAAAAGCTAAATTGAAAAGAAAAGAACAAGAGAACTTCACATTGTAATAGGAAATTCAATAGATACGAGGGTTTAATTTTAGCTAAGTAACTCACCCCTCGGCACTTCAGATAGGAGCATTTGCTCTCATTCCAGAGCCGTGCACTTTTGCAAGTATATTGCCTCTATATATCGTGCGTGCCGGATAATTAAATTACCTTTATTTACTGAGACTGGCTGCTCCAGAAGAAACACAGTTTGTTTCCAGTGTGTTTTGGTGCTTCTTGGATCAGTGGAGAACATGACCTGAAATCCAGAGTTCAAAGTCATCTGATGAAAAACAAGATTTCTAACAGCATGGTGCTCTACGCTTCTACACAAAATCCCACTCAGAGAAAATTACATGGCCGTTTTACAACAGCAAGGGGACAGATATTCCTTCATCAAAACACTTACAGGCAACTAAAAAAAGCAAACGGCACTTTTCCAACAGTTAGTTCTATCACAAGCAGAACCATAGCCCTTACCTTATTTTCGCAATTCTTCTCAAATAAAATATCAAAGTAGCCGGCAATTGCCTGAAAATAAAATTATTAAGAAGTCAAGAAGCAGATCATGTATACCCTCAGGCAAGCAGCAGGGCAAATGACAAACAAATTTTTATTTGAAATTCTTTCTAAAAACTCTCGACTAGATGTAAAATACTTAGCATTTCAAGTTGTGTGTATTTTGGCGAAATGTCCATTTTTAAACTCCTCTCCCATCATGATTAAAAACTTAACTTTTTAAAAGTAACATGACATCAGAGCAGATCAGTTTCCCAACACAGAGACTCGAAGGATAGCTTGAATTATATCATTCAATTATATTATATGAATACATTATACAATTATAATTATATAATACAAAACACATCACTACCCTACGTACAATATAAATTAATTTCCCCCGCTCTGACTGATGGGAACCATCTCATGCAGTTCTGCCCCACCCTTCAGGCTGTTTGTCAGAATGAAATCAGGTTACATAATGCAAATAATAATTTCATCAGCATGGCTGCTAATGTACAAATCACCTTTGACAGGTGAATGTGGTTAAAGTGGAAAGAGCAGTTTACTGTCACAGTATGGAAGAAATTTAAGGCCGGTCCATAACACAATCTTGCAGTTTCTAGTTTCATTTATAGTTAGTTAGTGAATTTAAGATCATATTTATCCAAAAATAATTCACTCATACAGAATAAAACAGGTCCAAATGCTACAGAAACTACAGAAAGTATATTACAGCATGACAAAACAGTGCATTAGTAAGGTTGAGAAAATGCTATCTAGATGCTGGATAAGTACATCGAATGCAAGATGAATTATCAAGGAAATGAGTTGAGAAAATAGAAAGAGTTGATATAATTGTTATAAATTTACAGTCATCTCCTGGGGTTTGTTGCTTTTAATCACCGTGGCACTTTTTAATCCACCAACAGAAGAGATTAATGCAAATCAGGCTATATTGACATGGACAAGTCAGATTGGACAAGGCTTGTGCAACACAATGGGATGAAATTCTGTGACAGGAGTTGATGAATTTGAATCGTGTCTGAAAAAGCACGTTATTATTCTCAGTTACAGAACTGGAAGAATCAATACCCTGCCCTCCCTTCCCCCACACCCCATCCGCACACAGATCATGCTCTTTGGGCTTGTCTAAAGTAAGAACCAGTCTATGAAGTGCAGTCTGCTCTTACACTGACAATCCCTCACAGTAAATGTTAAGCGGGGGAAGATGAGAGACAAGTGACTACCGTCTGCGCCACTTTCACTTCCACAGCTCCCAAGAGAGCGAGGCTGATGGACTCGAGCGTTGGTCATTTTTCATCCAGTCTCTCAAACAGCACAAAGCTACAAAAATAGCAAATGGTGACTGCCAGGTAAACAGCAGTAGAGCAACCCAGGCAGAAGCTTTAACAAAACACAATTGGGGGGCGGTGGCATTGCTTGTGTTCAGTGCAATCCATTCTTTGAGTCTCAATAAACACCTTGCAGAAGAAAACAGCATGGGTCAGGGATAAATAAATTGAGTGCCATAAAGTGCCAACAGCTGCAGTTACTAAAGACTGTTAATCCTCTCCAAAAATGAAAATAAATGAATTCCATTCAGGGGGGAAAAAAACAGACAGCCTGCTACCGACAGATCCAACACACAAAAAAACAAATCGCATAAAACATGGCAACTTCAGAACTACTTATTTTTTTAAAAAAAGTTCAGCATTATTATTTTAGTTGCCGTTTGTCTTTTTGGCTTTTTCGATATTCAGTTTAATTTTCAACCATAAATGCCCATTTTGTATCGTGCAATATCTGACAAAGTAATTGTTTGCGCAATTGAAATTATAATTTGTAGATTTAAATGCATGCAACCATAAAAGTCCCACTCGTGGGTTAAGTGCAGTGAATGTATAATTTTAAAACTCATAAATGCCTGTGGCTTAATGTAACGATCTAGATACCGACAAATCAGTAAAGCAAAATGCCGGTTAACTCCTGCGAATTACAGCCTGATGCAACTTTATTCAGCCAAACGCTGTGTGATAATATATGTCATCTTACAGGCATGTGAGAGACGGAATTTATACCGCAACAAGGCAATATCCTACCCACAAACTACTCCCTCACACAAGCCATGAGCCATTAAAAATGGCTGTGCACTCATCCTTGGCATCCTCAGATGTAACCATAGCAACTGGCAGCTAAGAACTCCTGCTGCGTTTTCGGTGACGTTAGTGCCACCACAAAAGCACACTTGTGCCTACACGGGTGACACGATAATTTCAACCCACGCAGGCTTTAGCTCTGTGCAAACGGCTTCCCGTATCAATCGACTGTGCTCGACAGTGGAACCTCTCAACGCAAAACAATTGAAAATAAATCCCTACCCTACCCCACCCCACCCAAAAAAAAAAGATTTGTCAAAAAATATTCAATCAATCTTTCGACGCACCGTTAAACCGATATTAAAGGAAATGGTTTGGTGGGAGTGTTTTTAGGAGTTGGAAGGCATGAGCCTCCATGCACTATGTCTCTAGCCTTCCAACACCTGAAAAATGTTTCCTTCACCTAAGGGATGAGTCAAAAATGCCTAATCGCAGCTTACAAGTCTGTTTTTTCTTAAAAATCTAACAGTGTCCTGAATTGTGGAAAATCCTTAAATTCAGTATTAATTTAAAGCTGGTTATTTTACAAGCTTCCAAATGAAGCCTGGATTTATTATCCCACAATTCGATGTGATCTTTAGCTTTGAGACAAAACGTTCTAACGGGTTATATATTATTATCTGTAATTATTATTATTAGACCAGGTAGAATCTCGGGCCCGGAAGATATGTTTCAGATAGAGTCATCTCAAATTATTTAAATTTAAAAAATTATAATTGATATAAAAATGATTCTGCTTCGTTCACTAGGTGTGGTGTTACATTGCATTTGATAGCTCGTCTACAAGAACTGGTGCTGTGTGATCTTAGTAAATCTAATTAGATGAAATGAAGAACAGTTAAAACCAGTGGGAGCTGAACACCTGAAAAAAACCGAACAACATTTCTTTGAAAGGAAGGCCGAGTCATTAAGTAATGCTCATTTAATTAGCATTTTTAGCCTCCACCCTGTCAGATAAAATACTGGGAGCGGTCAGCAATATAGCACTCAGGAAAGGCAAAGCAGAGAATCGCATACATCATGTGAAATGGATAAGCAATAGACAAGATTCATTAATACTGAGAAACCAGCCAAGGAAATGGCAGCCAGTTTTCTATGCTGTGAAAACATTAATAATTATCATCATCACTATCATCAGTACAGTGTAATTTATCTTCTCTCCCTACCATCCCCCACCTCCCTACAACCAACCACTGCCATTCCTATCATGCTTCAGCAGTGCATGTTTGGACCCGATACAATTAGGCAGCTGGCCACCAGAGTGGGAGGGTAATGTGTTTTTGATGGAGTTTACCCGAGCGTGGAGATTAAACACTTGCGATCTGTGCAGGAGGCTTTCCAGTGATCCTCTGAACAAAACACAGCACATCTTTCGCCCACAGAACAGACAGTCAATTCACTTCACAGTATATTCTGTGAAGCGCTTTAAAACGTCTCGGAGACGTGATAAGGCGCTATATATCAAATGCAAGGATTATTATTTTTATTATTATTATCTATCCTTAAATTTTACACAATATTCTGCTTGGCGGTAACACAGCGAGTCAAGCTATATTGTTCGGGTTTCTGTCTTGACTAAACTAAGACTGCAGCTAGCTGGATAAGCAATAGAAGTAACAAAAATTGATTGGAGGCAATCTAATTCACAAGCACATCTGACAAAGCAAAGGCAGCCCATGTTTCGAGAAGTAAAAAGGCCTGTTTTATGAACTACAGAATATTCACCACAATTTCAGCCAAAAGCAACCTAATCCAACTGGCTTTCAGCTAACATTATTCTATGTACTGTGTTCATGTCAACCTCATGCATGGAAGCATTATTAATTTCTCAAATTGTCTTCCTTTCCTTTCACAACAGCAGATTTTAGCTGCTCAGATGTCACACAAGATGTACTGCCAACTACTATATCTAAGACACAATTCCTTACAACAGAATGTTTGATTATTTTCTAATTGAATGGTCTCGGAGGAGCCCTTGATATTGGAGAAGCATTTCATAAACATTATCACCACAGTTTTACGTAGACATGCCTAAACAGCTCTTAAATTTGTGTCAATAATAAAGCACGGTAACTTGCTAGTTTAGTTGATAGTTCTATTAAAAGTGGAGTATAATCAGTGAATCAATGAGCAAAGAGTTTAAAACAAAGGTGAAATTCCACTTCCACCAAAGACGGTAATGAAAGTAAATGGCTTTTCTGAGTTTATAAAACAACAGCACCGCTATACTGAAACATGAGCATTATTGCCTGATGAATACAGCCAATACATAACTGTAATGCAACACTTCACGGATCAATTGATTTCTAATTAATTCAGCAGCTTGTATAAAATCAAGTGTATTTTATACATAAGATGTAGCCAAACTCAAGAAGTAAAATTTAACCAACTTACTGTAAACAGGGTTTTTTCAGTTATCGTCAGAGAGAATTCAGAGGTGAAATCTAAATCAGAAATTCGTACAGTATTGCAGTCTATGATCTGAAAGGCAATGGGAAAATAAGCTTTTTCGATATATCCGTTTACATGATAATACATCAGAACAAAAGCATAATGTTTGGCCAAGCACATGCTTCAGAAGCAAAAGACCAGAAATCAAACCTCTCGTACTAGCACAACAAACAATGATAGAAAACTATACAGATAAAGGTGTACGAAAGAATATTTGTGGGGATGAACTTGTCATTTAGAAATGTGTTATTTTGGATGTACTTTAGTTTACATATTAAATGGGAATTTTCTTGCCTACATTTAGGTTTTCACCTAATGAAATTGGATTTTCACAAAACTGCTGATTCTTTGCCTAATGTCCCGCTGTGTGCATGATTATTTCTGAAAGAACTGATACAATAAAAGTTCTGTAGCAGCGTCGGTTACAATTAGCTACTAATAAAAGTCATCATAATAATCGGGGACAGGTGATTTTGCAATTGGAGAATGGTGTTCTGCTCATCAGGAAAGCCTCCCACACCAAAAAGGAAGTCCTTAGAAAATGCAGCACATGATTTACCACCACTCCCTCCAGTTACCTGCCTCTTCTAAATTGAGTCATTCTGGAGCATGGGCTCCACAGAACAGGGATGACCCCAGTCAGTAACCTTACACGATCGGTTCAAAGACCTTCGGCAGGTAATAAAAATTACAGAAATTCTAGTATGTACATTTCTTGATATTTTGAACAAGACAAGCTCTCCCCCCACCCCTTTGTACTGTGCCTGTCGTCTTGGTTGAAGACTTGTGTCTGGTACAGAGGAACTCAAAGAACAGAACTGAAACCAACTTCATAACTACAAAATGTTGGGTAGGAATACTGGTTCCTCTGCTTATCAATCAAAGTAACTGTTATGAGGGTCTGACTTGCTCGTCACATAAAACACGGCGATTTTCATTTGTGGGTTGGTTGGCAGGTTCAAATGACAAAGGGGTCATTTGAAAAATAAGTACAATTTGTTCCATGTTATTAATGACGGTAGTTCCTTTTTTTAAAAAAACAAAAATTCCTAGCATCCAAGCTTACAGCACTGCAACAGTCACCAAACACCCTTCGGAATCTCATCTGCGCTCAACAATGTGAAATGCTGCAGTAAGCAGAAATCAATTTCCATTTTTATGCTTCATTGACACCTGTGCAAAGCTCTGTTTATACTGCAGCGTTTCTGTGGCCGATTGTTCTCTTGACACACTAAAAGATGACACATCATCGCACAACACACGGATTAGCAGATCTTTGCCGTGCCTGACAGCTGATCTGATATCAGAGGGCTCCAACCGCCCACTGATTCATCGAGTGGCGCATTTTTGTGAATTCAGCCCTCACTGTTTCTCCTGCTTTGTGGATAAACACATGCGGTTTGGGCACCTTCAGCTCATCATGTCACACAAATGTTGCTGCTGTCCGAGACACGTACCTTTATGATGCAGGGCTCTGAGATGAGGGTCTTTGGATCCAGCACTTCCACCCCAACTTCTGGAACAATCACTTTCTTCATGCAGGACATCTTAAACCCGTACACATCATCCCAGAAACCTAATTGGTCATTGTGCTTTTTTTCATCTCCCACAGCTACGAGGCTAATTGTGCACTTATCAGGGTATACTGAAAAACAAACGAGTGAAATGTATTGATTTTACATTTGATCACCGCATTTAAATTTACCTCTTCTAATAAAGATGGTGAAGAGGAGATGGGTGGCAAGTAATTGGCAAGTAATTCTACAAAAAGAATTGAATTATTCTTGCACAAAGTAATAAATAGTTTTAAAAAAATAAGTTTGTGTTAATATGAACATGAGAGAATTTGGTTCAAACCCAAACCTATAGGTTTTTGCCTATGATTAGCCTTGCTGTGCCAGCCACGTGATGTTGAGAATGGCTACCAAGGGTTAAAAATGAAATCTTGCCAGGTACTAAAACGTTCTGCCGGCTGTGTGTTGCACAGGTAGCTTTTCCTTACAACTGGCTAAGTAAATATTTTTTAACACTCTGAAGACGTGATGAAACCGCGGGCAGCCAATTCTCTTTGCCCAACTGCTTCTGCTTCAATGACCTTTAAACTTTCCAACATGACATATTTGTCACTTCATTCTTTTCTGATTAGTGCAGTAATTGAATAATTATTACTGCACATGGGTGAAATTAACAAAGCGCTGATTGGACAGGGAGTAAAACCCTCTTGGCTGCTTATGAAGATTCATAGCAATGACATCTGTGTCCTTCTCGACTCACTGCCCAAGCCACTCTGTCTTTCACAATAGCTCACGTGCCCAGTTGGTAAAAATGGGACATACTTTACATCCTTGAAATTGCTCACAAATTCCAGAGCATTAAATCTGAGGAACGAGCTAGAATTCATAATTATGTGCCTTCACATCATTCTTACGATCGGCATATCATAAATCTAATTTTTTTGGTTTTAAAATTTGCTGCATGCCTTCCGCAGGTAAATCTTGGTATTATCTGAACAGCTACGTAGTCTATAAGTTGTAGCTTTGAATCAAGGTTGAATTTTAAAAGAAAAACAAGTTCAGTTGGCAATGGTTGAAGCCCTTAGAGAAGAATATTTAAGATAATATTAATCTTTGCATTTGATATAGCGCTTTTCATGTCTTCTAGACATCTCAAAGCGCTTCACAGAATATACTGTAAAGTGAATTGACTATATTTCTGGGCGAAATGCAGCAGTCAATTGTGCACAGCAGTGTCCGATAAACAGTCATGGATTGGAAATGACCAATTTTATTATTGTTTCTTTCTTGCGGGATTATTATCAGGCGTGTGGAGTAAGGAAACTTGCCCAAGGTTTTTCCCTGCTGGGAATCGAACCAAAGTCTCTCGCTTGCGAGGCGAGTGCTCTAACCACTGAGCTACAGGACTCTACAGTAATCAGTAATAAGCAAATACAGTTCATGTTTATTAAGATGAGATTATTACCTATCTAGGAACATTAACTACCTTAAATCCAACTATTGCACTCCAAAACTACTACTGAAACAAAATAAATTTACAATGACTTGAGATTAGGTGGCTTGTCAATTACCTAACCACTAATGCATCTGAATCGAATAAGTCACACTTAGTTAACCCATACCCACAACACTGAATGACTGTTTCTTTTAAATCATTCTTTACATTACTATAATTTAAATTGCTCAACTTTTTTTATAATTAAAAAAAACTAAAAAAAAAACTATTTTTGAGAAACTTGAATTCCAGGCTTCAAAGCCAATCTTTTGTTATGTTTATGCTTTGGGGCTGTTATATATCGTGCCTTCACCTCCCCTCTCGACTCTCTACACCCTCCTCGCTCCCTCCCTTCCCTCACCCTGACCAGTTCCCCCCTGCTCAGGTCCCGACCCTACTGTCCAGCGACTTGGGACGTCCTCCCGATGTGAAAGGCACTCTATAAATGCAATCTTGTTGTTGTTGTTGGGGCTGTTGTGTAGATATCCATCCTCCCCGTGCCTTGTTGTTCTTGATCCTTCCTGCTGCCTACGTGATGTAGCTCTATAAAATAGTGCTGTTCCGCCGCAAAGTAAGTCCATCATTATTGGCTTCTCTTGCAATGTACTCCTTGCCAGCAAATGCCACCCCCATTGTAAACATGTATTTAGGAGTTTACTGATTGGTAAGCCATCATCATGACGTGGTTTATCTTTATGTTATGCATCACCATAACCTTTGTTACCCTTTCTTCAATTCTTCCGTGCTAAGTATGGAGGGGAGAGGGAAATCAAGGTATTTTTATAATGCTACAATCAGCTAGCAGTAATTCAATGAAAGGATTCTGCTGACGTGCACAAAATATTCCAGCTACGTTCGTGCATTTTACGCTTGGCTGAATTACTGCCTATGAACTCACAACCAGCCATCTGTTATTCTATGTTTCTGAGTGGCAAAATCCAACGCAGTTTTTGCATTCCATAAGTAGAAAAATAACCGCTATTAATTAGCCTCTGTAAGCTTCACAGGCCTTTAGGGAAAACAAAAGGATACAGAGAAGTAACCCTACAAGATCCCTGATAACGACACCTCATAGCCCCTTCTTCTTGAAAGCTATAAAGTGAATGAATGCCTGCAAGCTACCAGTAATGGAGGCATATTTCATTTGTGGTGGGAACTTTCTCAGTGATGCATAGCACATTACTGGAGATGTGTACATGTGGTTGCTAGGAACTGACTACAGCAACGTGCGATTCTCCATCCCCCAGCTCCCTCCCCACTCCAAACACAAACCTGAGCCATCTTCTGTCAGGTACTTGTTCCGTGCATATATGACCGAGTCCAGCATGGATTCAAACAACAAAAAATAACCCTGTTGGTGAGAAATAAAACGACTTAACAAACGACGTTTAAAATGATGAGACGGCAATTTATCCTAATTAAAATCCATCTATTCATGTCAGCGCACAGAACCTGAAAGCATTCACAACAAATGAATACAATGAAGTGTGAAATTAGGCATTCTTTTCACATCTATTGCACATAACTATTCCGATCAACATATTTGGAAACAAAATCTAGAAAAGGCTGGCAAGCCACAAATCATTCTGGATACTGGAAGAGAACAATAAGTTAAGCAATTCCTGTTCTGAATATCAGCTTCTGCAGTTTCACTCAGTGTTATTGTTAAACACGACAGGATGTTATCAAACTGTTGCTCACACGATAAACACTCTTTTATATAAATGCTTTTGGTGTTCTGAATTAAGACGCACATATTGATTTCAAAGTGTCTCATTGTATCTCAAAGACACTTTACAGGATATAATGTAAAGCATCTTAATAATAGTAATCCTTGCATTTGATACAGCACCATTCACATCAGGAGGGCATCTCAAAACATTTTACAGGATATAATGTGAAGTGTCGTACCATGCATTTTGTAGACGAACACAGCCGCCAATTTGCACACAATATCCTACAACAGCCATGAAGTAACCAATTTTATTTGGGAGTTTGTTGGTGAGGTCAGTGGGAGAAACTCCCTGCCCTTTTCGAAGAATGGCACGGAATCTTAAACGTCTATCTGAGCAGGCAGACAGACAGACAGGAGCTTGGTTTAATATCTCAGATGGACGATGACAAGAATACAAATATGAGTTGTTCTCAGCGTCCAAGCTTACAGTTCTTTAAGTCCGTAGGAGGAGATCGAGATTACAAACTGCACTCAGCTGGAAGCTTTCTGACGTAATAGTATCACGTAATTTGCTGGCGTTTTTAACGGTCTACCGCAAGTTTGGTGTCAGCATTCTTTTTACCTAGGAATTTTGGCAACGGTTCAATATTTCCAACTGGTTATTGCACTTCAGCTGACGTTTTTCCACGCTGACGCTCCTCACACTGATCGAACCAATCCCCTCGACCCGACACTCAATTTACGACAGCGAGTGAGCGCTGTCCTTGGTGCTGAATCGTGTAATTTATAACTGATATCTGAACAATCAGCTCTATGCACTTGTGTGTTGCACTCATCTGCAGAGTAATTTAGAATGTAATTTCACAGGCTACTGCCTCACCTGTAGGGGTGCCATCTGGCTGGAGAATTACACCCCTTGCTCTTTCGTTTCCTCTCACAACGCTTTTCTTTTCCCCTTTGCACTGGGCGTATTTACATTCCTTTGAATTACCATCTTCAGAATTAGTGAAGAGATTCATTCACCATCTTGCAATACAGAATGAATAAGACACTCCAGCTTTACGCTTGGAGAAAAACCCATTTTAATTTTATAGTCGGGACAGATTAAAACCATTAACAGAGAATTTAATGTGAGATTGTGGGTGGAGGGGAAAAGGGGTGGGGGGGGGGAACGACAGAAACTTTATTGTCCAGAACAGATCTCATTTCCATATTTCTCATCAAAGCAAAATACCAGTTGAAAGAAGACACAACTCATCTTCCTTGGGAAATGTTACATCTCTATTATATTGTGTGCTGTGGAATTTTAAGCAAGTTATGCATCAGCATTTTGTTCCCTTCCTAGGGAAAAAAAACCTAGCTTGCGTCAAAGTAGCATGCGTCCCTTATTACGCATTTTAAACGTTGGAATTCGTGCAATCTTCTTCCCAGTACAATACAAAAACACGTTCTCCGCATGATTTTACTCCAAGATAACAGACTTAAAAGCAAGCATCAATTGAAATTCAAGGGCGAAGATCAGGAGTATATGTTAAGAAAATGGATGTTGTTGGTTATTTATCTCCACTACTGCAAACACAAATACCTTCAAAATGGACCACATTACAAAGCAGGGCAATTTTCGCCCTGAGGAAGGATAAAAAAACACATTTATTCCTGTCCTAGCTGCAGAAGAATCAATATAGGGCACTGAAGCTTTAGGATGGCTCTCAAAGTGAATTTAACACACCATGAAATGTTTTTAGCTAAAGTTTAAAACAGAACAGTGAAAGGCAAAAAGAAACAAAAAAAAAGCATATTCTGATCTAATGAAAGTAAAAACCTAAACTCTGCATCAGAATATCTGAAATTAAGAAATTCAGCTCATGCTGAAAAAGCATCATGGCTTCTGAGTCCTGATGTATGAGCAAGGCGATGAAATCTGATGAAAGCTGATGTACTGGAGCAAACTTGTCAGCGGTAATAAATGTGTTGATTACTTGCTCAACATTTCATAGGTCATACGCTAAATCTGTCAAAAAAAAATCACCCGAGTATATTGTCTCAGGACTGGAGAGGACGAGTCTTTTTAAAAAAAATAAAACACTCTTCGAACCACTTGGCAGCTTCTGCACTCTCTGCAACTCACGCTGTACCCGCAGAGAACAACCACAACAATAACCAACAACCATCTGCTCTTGGATGCCATAGTTTGGCCACAAAGTGTACAGTCAATTCATTTTACAGTATATTCTGTGAAGCGCTTTGCAATATCTCAACAATGTGATAAGGTGCTATATCAAATGCAAGGATTATTATTATTATTATACAGCAGAGAAGTTAAATACTCAATAATTCAAATTACTCCAGAAACATATAGGATTAATTTTTTTAGGACACAGTGCATTCCTGAATACGATAGCTACTTGTTAATATAAATTATGGTGAAATACTGAATCTCCCAAATGAATAAGCTGGAAGCCATATTTTTTGTTTCAAGACGGTTGGATAAACCCTTCTTTATCGAGTTTGCATTCATGGTTTGGTACTGTGGCAAGTAGTGAAAAAGCAGGAAAAAGACTAAATTTGCCAGCGAGGGCAGAATCACCAAGATTCTATGCACAGATCAAACAGACTGATTCCATAAGGTAATGTGACATTTGCCCCTATCATTCAGTTAAATAAATTCTGATAGCAAATGGTTTGAAATACAAGTATAGCAAATGGCTTGAAATACAAGTATATATTATGGACTCACAGACAACAGAAAAACATAAGAAATCTTTATGTGAATCTATTATGAATAATACATCCTGGAGCGAGTACCTCAGCAGTAACACATCTTATCGGACCGATTTACATAATTTAAAACGCTGATGTGTTACTGCCCTGACTGCAGTCTCTGCATTAGCCTGTGTTTTACAGAGGGTGCAGACAAAATGCATTCACCTTGGTGGCAATTTCTAGACCCTTGCTTGCCAGAATCACAAATACATTTCATGCTAGTTAACTTCTTCAACAAACTTTTGAAGCCCTCTGGAAGAAAATGTGCACCACCGAACAACTGCCTCTTGCTCCATCGATCAGTCAAAGAACTGACCCCAGAATCAGAGTAGGGCTTGATTTTAATAGTATTATAATATTGACCGAGGTGTGAGTTTGTGGGCGGGGAGGGGGGGGTTGGGAAAGAGTCTAACAAGCCACTCGCTGGTCTTAGCTTTGAGGACCTTCACAGAAGCCTCACCTGAGCAGAATGTGATGCATCAGTGCTGATCATTTACAGGACAAAAGAAGTACAAGATATCTGAACAGTGACCGGGCCCTGACAAGACAATCCCGATAAGCGGAGGAGTACAGGATATGGACTGGTAACATGGGCTGGAGGAAGAATGAATGGACAATTTAACAGTGAAACGCTGAAGGTTAATAAGCAATTCCAAAACATTCTGGGCTAACAGGTCATCAGGCCAGCGCAAGCAATTCTGCAGACACAGTAGGATGAGCCATGGGTGGCTTTAAATAAAAGATCATGGTTTTCACCAAGCTTTTTTTTTGTATTATTGCTCATGCGGAATTCCTGAACTGGAATAAGATGAAGTCTGAACAATAGAAACCCAGAAATATTACATTTGATGACTTGTTTTTCAAAACAGGAAGAAATGAATAGTTTCCTATTTTTACTGTTTCTTCGTCATTATGACTCTCTTTTGTAAAAACTCATGGATTAGTCATAATCTACAAAAGGTCAAGCTTGAACCCAGTTATAAATAACATTATCCAGGAGGATATTTGCCAAAAGATACAGACAGACCAATTAATGCATTTAGAATGCACAATTGTTCAGATAAAAGCAGATATTGGCAACTGTATGTTTTTTCCCCCATAACCCGACATATTTGGCACCTTTAAGTGACCTTATAAGCATATTTACGGCACTCAAGAGATATAAGCACTGGTGGGAAACATTGTTCTAAAGTACGGAACACTGCAAGCACATCACTATTGAACAGCTTAACATGGTGTAAATAACAGTTTTTATGGGGGTTACCTTTTATTTTAACAAAGGGTTTGGAATTTTAAATGCCAAGTTTTTTTTCCAATTTCACGACACCCACATTACTAATGTACTACATGGAATTTCAACGCCATAAATTCCTTTTCAAAGTATTTTTACATGCTGTAATTATTGTAAAACATCATTACAATGTGCTAAAGGGAAGGAAATGATTGTGGTTCTGCTTATGTGAAAACCCACTTCAACAATAACATTAACAAATAGAAAAATTTACCTAAAGTGACTTCACATGGGACTTTTTTTTTTTGCTCTTCAGCAATAGCAAAATTTTTTGCTATTCAGCAAAAACAAAGTATTTTTATTCAAGAAAAAATTACAGAAAAGGCTAAAATGAATACAAACTTGAGTAATGTAGCATGGCACATGCATTTGTTTAATTAAAACTAGATTAGTCAGGAGAAGAAATTTGAATGAGAAAGCATTTCTCTCGATACAAAAGGCAAATTCATCATATACTGTGCAACAAAAAGTGATGATCAGTGCAATTTCAGAATGTTTACCATGATCTATTACAAGATTCATTTTAGTTGCTCTTTTATGCAAATGTATATCCTTCAAACAAAATTGTTAAGCGACATAAAACTGAAGGAAAATAATTGGCTGCAACTTATTATTGAAGGTGGAAGGACGTATATTGGCAAGGTGACAGAAGTCGTGATTCAGTAGATATAACAACCAGAATTGCTTCTAGTTCTGACAATCTGCCCTGCAGATGCTCTGTTGCCTTCAACATACATACATATATATATAGAAGGGTATACATTTATATCTTAAAATATATTAAATAATATTAAAATATTTAAAAATATATCAAATAAATATATTAAAAATCAGATACAGTTCCTGCTTATACTAAAACTTTAGTTCCACTGCTTTGCTCATCTCTCCTCGTAGCCTCCAGTCCAGTCTCAGTTTAGACAGAAAAAAATGCTTCACTTGACCACAGGTACTCATGAAACTGCAACCCATCAAGAGTTCAACACTTAAGGGGGGGAAAGAGGGAATATTGTCAAACCAAAGTTTGACAAATCAAACCAAGATATTTGAACTCCATCCCACAGTCCCTTCACCTCGCTCCCACCCTCGCCTCCTTCAAAGTCTACCTCAAGAACCTCCTTGTCGACCGCGCCTTCAGTCACACTCCTACCCCACCCTCCCTCCCCCTCTCCCAATCCCAACCCCCAGTTCTAAATCCCTGACTGTCCAGCACCTTTGGACGTCTTCCCGACGTGAAAGGCATTATACTAATGTAATGTAATTTGTAATTGTAACGTACTAATGGAATTTGTTGTTGTCGTAGTAACTAAGTTCCCAGAAGATGTGATGAACAGATTTACGTGGCAACTATGACTCCATCAGAATGGTACTGGTGAAGTTCTCACCTCAAATGTTAACCTGTCATCTACCTTTCAGAAGCTAGTTGAGCGATTTAGCATTTCCAGATGGATTTTTTTTCCAAATCTCCCAAACTGCTTCCCATTAATTATGCTAAACTCTCAAGTCTAGAGGCAAACACTGTGAATGTTGAAGTATAGCCTGTGCGTTAGTGTTTATGTAAAAGAATCCCAATTTCAAAATCCACTTCTATTTTCAATCTGTTGAACCTTCACCTTCTCAATAATTTCCCAAGAGTTAACAAGAGGGATGTTAAAACAACAATTGGATCAATTTGCTATGACATTATAAATACAGTATATCCATTTTTATGCAAAGCTGTTTTCCTAAGTTTAGAAATCACATTCAAGAAAAAGGCCAGTTTCAAGATGATTAATTGTTCAAACCTAATGAAGTATTCTCTCTGCTATACGACTGAGGAAGAACTGTCTGTTTATTAGCCTCAACATCAATAGTTCACATTGAGAAGCTGCTGAAATTTACTGGAAGATAATAGATTGTGGAGTCCTTCGCTGACTGCATTAATTGTGGATTGTCTAGTACCACTACAAACACCAGATTGAAGTTAAAAGACATCAGTATTTCAGTGATAACATAACTTCGAAACTGAAGTTCAGTCTTTCCATTTACATTGCCAGTACATACACAGTACAACTCCATAAATCAAAGCTACCCTTGTGAAAAGGTAGAACAGTTTTGGTTTTTTAAACAGCTCTCTCAAAAACGCTCATCGGTTCCCTTATTATATCAAATATACATTGGTGATTTATTATTCTCAATGATCTCTCTAAATTTTATTCTCTGCAACTCGTCCCGCTAAGTATTATGAGAGCTGAATTTTAATTTCTTACAATTTTGCTTCCGAGTTGCTCGCTTTAATGTCATGAGGAAGGTTATTTTTTACATTACCAATCTATAATTTTTCCGCTCCAAGGAAAGACCCTTTTACTGCAATGCCTTTGAAATCAACCGCACAATATCTGCTACCTTCTAAACATCTTGAACAATCTAGAGCATCGCTAATATTACATTTTTTGCGTGGCTATTCTCCAACTCGAGAAATTAATTGTTTCCATAATTTGCATACAGAATATGTACTTTCTGTTGGGATGAACAAATTAATTCAGGGACTGCCTGTTCCTGTTTTGTAATCCACTGTGCTCATTGCCCACATAAATAACCTCCTCCGTTTATCATCCAACCCTGGCCCCTCTTTTCATGATGATTCCCCTTCACGTTAATTAATTTTCTTCATATTGCACATCCTCAGGACACAAAATAGGAAGAGGGTCCAAAATCTGGAATTATGAAGGAAATTGGGAGCAGAGCCAATCTCTGTCAGAGAAACATGAACCACAGCCTCCCACCAAATGTCCTTGTGCTAAAGTGGCACAGACCAGCAACATTATATAATAAACCTTGCATTTGATATAGTGTCTTTCACAAAAGGACATCTCAAAGTGCACAACAGGATTTACTGTGAAGTATGGCGACTGTATTATTGCAGGCAAACATTAAAGAAAGGATGAAAGCATGCATACAAGGCGTTATGAAACAGGCTGTTAAACATAATGAAACAACAGAAAGGAATATCAAGCAGTTACCCAAAAATGTGCGCCATGGAGTAAGTTTGCCATTTTTGCCATTCACCGCATACAGCGTTCCTAATCCTAACCCTGGCCGGATCATCACGTCCAGAGGTCAACGTTTACCCACAGGAAGAGCGGGAAGTGAAAGAGGCCGAGCGGAAAATTTGACCAACCAACTTCTCTTTCGGATGCAGCACAATGTGACTCAGGAAGCAGGGAAGAATGCAACTGAAAAGGTTGCTGCATATTCAAAAATATTCCGACGATATTTAAATAATCAGGGGTATAACAATTTCATAGTGTGGATAAAAAAAGCTCACCATCCACTCAGAAATAATGATGTCCACTTTATCAACGGGAAGATCAACATCCTCGATCCTTCCTTTGATCAGCGTGATGGCACCATCCAGCTCATTTTGTCTAGTAACACAAAAGAATATGATTTACATGATCCGATACAACTTATAACTAATTACTAGAAAGTACCACCTTCCAGTCTCAAATGACTACGCAAACCTGTTTGCTGTCTATATTATTGCTGAATCTTTAACAACGTCACTGAACAGTGAGTACTGCTAAATCTGCTCTGCCAACAAAAATTAATGCAAGTTTATAATCTACAGGAAAATAATCTTAATAATCGTAACCCTTGCATATGATATTGCACCTTATCATGTAATTAAAACATCTCAAAGTGCATCACAGGATTTACTGCTGAGTGTAGTGACTGTTTTGCAGGCCATCTACATATTTTTGGGCAGGTTTCCTTATTTCACACTTCTCTGTTTACCTAGCAGTAAATACGAACCTGGTTGTTAGTTAATTGGCAGATCGCTTTTCTGGGGGTTAATAATCCATTCAAAAAAAAATCTAAAAAAAAAATAATTTGGTCACTCAATCCACGACTGTTTGTGGGACACTTCTGTGCACAATTAGCTACCGTGTTTTATACAGTCACCACACAAAATACAGTCACTACACTTTATAGTATATTCTGTAAAGCGCCTTGAGCCTTCTCGAAGACATGATAAGGCACTATATAAAATGCAAGGACCATCATTATTATATCTATATGAACGACCATTAAACCTGTGAAAAAATGTGATCTTCTGTTGAACCTGACAATTCAGTACATTTGCAAATACATCCTCTGTGTCAATTAATCTGACTTTGCCACAAATTGTATTAATATAGCAGCGAGTAGTAAACGAGCATTGGCATTGCCGGGGGCTTATGGCACATTTGTCCCTGAAGGCAGGTTTGTTGTGGATCTTTAGCTGCAAATATAAAATCCAATGAACAAACCTATTCTTAAGTTTTAACGATTCTTTGGGCCACTGTGCACCATATCCATCTTCCTAAATATGCCATTATCATGACAGCTAATGTTACACTGGACAGAATAATTACTCAAGCTGGCAAAATTTATTTCCTATGCATGATCCTTATCACTGTCCTTTTCTGCTATCTCATTCTCCCAGCATCCACAATCAGTCTCTCGCTTGACTTTCAAGACGACGGAATAATCTCATTATAACAGTCGTTTAAAGTACAAAGCCTGAAACAATAGCGGTAAAATCCAGAGGCAGGGAGTGAAATTCTCTTTACCTTACAATATCCATGGTCTGGTAAATGATCTCAGATTGGTCAACACCAATCACTTGCTTGGCTCCGGCTTTTGCTGCAAACATGGAGAGGATCCCAGTCCCACAACCAACATCTAAAACAACCTGGCGAGGATTCAGAAATAAGGACTTTAATTTCAATGGAAGAGCAAATTAATAGAACAGCATTTTACCTCAAAGTAGGAATCATGCACTATTTCTGCATTGGAATCTGCTTGATTGTTTGATCTAAATATTTGAATAACAATTAATTCATTCAATTGAAAGCCCAAATGGGTTCATATTGCACCCGAGTGACCAGGTTGGCCCCAGTTTGATGACACAATTCCGCATTATATTTTAATTTGGGGCTCCTATGATGTCCTGGTGTTTTGGGGCACACACTGTAACCAAGTTATACAGTATTTTAAAACGGCCATTTGTTTTTGTTTAGCATATAGTTTCAGTATTGGAGCACAACATGTATTACATTCCTCAGTTCCTCTTCCCCCCACCCCCCCAAAAGGTCTGAAATCATATTCTAAATGATTAATTGAACAGATAATCTCAACCATTTAATATCTTGATGGGCAGAATGACCTCCTATTCCTTAATAACTTGCTGAAATTTTGCTCAATACAAAGTAGTAGTGACACTGCATTGATGTAAACTCAGCTAACTTGTTTTCTATTCAATACTGTGTATACACAACGCTCAGCTCATACCTCAATCAATATAATTCCACGTTAGGTTCTTTTCACGCACACGTCAGCTGTCTGCACAGAATTCTACCAACTGGCTTTGTGACAAGTTCGATTACTCCATCATTTCAATCTCCATTGCTTAAAACTAAATTTTAATTGCTTATTATGGATAAATTAATACATTGCTAGATTTAACTACTTGAAATTGCTGAATTGAATCACTCAACTCATGTTTAGCAGTATGTTCCAGTTAGTTTGTATTTTTAATGTGATATAATTTCATACATTTCTGCTAAACTTCCTATGAGGTCCCTGATGCTATTAAAGAGGCGACTGACAAAACTAATAGACGTTGACAAGGATCACATTTACCATCATTCCACTGAAGCGTAACAACCAGACTTTAATTAAAAGCAATTCTCATCTGTGTAACAGCCATAGACATTGTTTGGCAATACATTTATTGATTTTTACCTTAGTCTCAAACAGCAGACAGGAATAATCAATTTCACATACATATTGGTATGTTAAAAAGAATTATCACTGCTTGGACATACGTCATGAGTTTTCTTCTGATAAATTGTTCTAAATTGGAGGATACTGAGAGAGGTGTATTTGATGGTCAGAATTTCAAAAAGGCCTTTATCTGGATTGAAATGAGAGGCCAAGACTTCAGCCACCACACACTGTCTTTTGGAACTATTTCCAAATTAACTGAAAAAAACCTTAAAATATCCAGGAACTGGAGAATTTGAAACTGGACTGCAGGGATACATCTACAAACATGACAATTACTTAATTCAAGCAAATTATATTTTGCGTCCCTTAAAATCCCCAGTGGAAGAATTCAATGAGTCTGTTGCAGGTTCTGAAACAACGCACGGCTCGGAACATTGCACCCAGTTGGCTGATTATATGTAGCACATAACAGTTATGGAATACTGTAATGTACAACGACAAGAATGATCTGTACTTGTGTTATTAGGGCACTCCGGTCTCCATTCAATGAAAAACCACTCATGCGTAATAAACTGAAGGACTTTTAAATCAATTCCTCAACAAATATACTGCCAGCGATCATCTACCTCTGGAGGATCCTAACTTTGCGGCTGCAATAAGCACTACAGTTTCCTTATCACCTACCTTGTCCTTGAAAATATGTGGGTTGAGGAACATGAAGTCCCTGTAGCTCTCAGTTCGCACTTTGTCCTGCCAAGTGACAACCAAACAGTGAATCAATTGCATTCGTAACTCTTAACTACAACGCAAACAATGGCATCTGCACCAAAATAATCATATAAATCTTCATGTTCTCCTTATTCTAAACCTAAAAGAAATTTTAAAACATTTAAGTGAAGTTTGTTGCTGACTGAAAGACCTAGATCTCCTGTCCGTTGATCACATTGGCTATGAGTGAGACTCCCATGCTAGGTCTCTGGTTTGTTCTACAGGAAAGTCTACATTGGCAAACGTGAGGCGAGGGATGGTTCAGATGCAGCTCTGAGGTCTACAGTATTGAAAAAGCTGCCATCAACACTCTAGGCCACAATGTGAATTACGGCCATTTCAGTATTAATGGGCGGCTGGAACCTATAACCCAAAAAAGGCAACATCTCAAGAGGAGAAAATAGGAGGGAGAAAGAGCTGGAACTAATAAAATATGATCAGATGCTTTCATTGATTTACCTAGATTTATAGTATAATGGTACCACAAAGTACACTGGAATCCTTACAAGGTTAATAGAATATCAGGTTTCCTCCGCATCCCAATAAAAACATGAAATAAAAAGCCATTATGATGTCTGTCAGTGTTCCAGTTTAAGTGTTCAATTGAAGAAGGATGCCAGCGTGCCACTGAAGAACTCCCGACTTCTTAGGTGCAAGCTATTCCCATCCATCTCTGCTTAACGCCCTACCACTCAGTTCATTAAGGTGACATAATAGTTTACCGCACAGCCTTGTTGATGAGAATATTTTAATCATACCCATATCTACAAAAGACACCTAGGAGCTTTAATCTTTCATCTATCCAGTTACGTCAAATCGTTATCCGAATCATTTTCTTCACAAGCTACTACCTGATCCGTTTGAAGGCACTATTTGATGCAATTTTAGGTACTGTACTTTGAAAACCCCCACATCCGTGTGTTTTTTTTGTGTGTAAAACTGTACGATGTGGGGTGGGGGGGGACAAAGTTTTAAAAACCCTACTCCTTCTAATGTTCTGTGTGAAGAACTGGATAAAATTTAGCAATTAAATATAAAATGGATCATTCACTCAGTAAATTAAATTGGATTTAACAGGTAAATTACAAATAGGTTGGTGGGGAACGAATTCAGGAATAGAACATGCACAGCAATTTTTAGAACAGTCCCACCGGAGTGTCATTTGGCAGCTGAATCTGCTCAGACATCCAAAACAGAGGGCTCAGTGTCACTCGTCAAAGCACTGGGTTGGAAAGTGATCAGACTTGCGCAGGCAACAGTCCTCACCCTTCGGCTCTGACTGAACTTAATCAATTATGTTCCAACTGCTTTGATGTGATTTCAGCCACCAGTGTTCCATTGCAGTCGTTTGTTTTTCACTTTACGACGAACAGAAAAAAAACACATCGAGGAAGAATTTTTTTTAAAAAAAGGAATGTTTCCATCCCCTGAACTTGATCCTTTTTAAAATTGCAACAACAACATTATCATTTTTATTGCAGCTCTTTGTCGAGCGTCGGTGAAATATTCTGTCTGGGTCACTGAAACATCGAGATGATCGGAAACGAGGAAAATAATTTTAAAAGGAAACCACTACCTGACGAAAGCAGATTGATAAAAAGATTCAGAGATAACAATCGCCGGAACAGTTTAAAGCTTTGTGTGCGTGTGTGTGTGTATATATAAAAATATTTAAAAAAAGAGATTAGCTGATTACCAACAAGCTCTTAGCTGATCCAAACAGTTCCTGCCGTGTTTTGAGAGCCGATTCTAAAGGGAGATGCATATGAGGCATTTGGGAAAATGGAAAAAAAAACTGCAGCCACAAGAGGGTTAAAAATGCAGCATCGGAGGTGTGTTTATGTTAGGGGCTAATAGATAGGTGAGTCCTGTGCACGGTTTCTATTTGATAAACAAACCCGAGAGTTGTGCTGTACTGCAATCTCACCTTTAGCATTTCCTCATGTATACCATAATGCCCATAGGAACTGAAGTAGACATTGTCCTCTTCCTCCTGCAGGTCTGCAATAGCATTTGTGGTTGATTTACCAGTCCTGACATCTGCATTTATCACGAAATCCCGCACATATTGTCTGTAATCAATTTAAAACACACCCTTGAGGCACGCTTAGCGAACTGTGAAGGAAGAATTCTGCAACAATGGAATTTTCCAATACAAACAGTGCCATCCTCTGACTCCCTCTGCTGGTGCTCAAACTACAGTACAAACAGCCTTGAGACATCGTTCTACACAAATAAAAGCACCGGTTATAGTTACAGGCTAATTTCCAGTTCGGCTCGGCAGATAGCAAAAAAGATTACCAAGAAAAGGCTGTTGAGCCCTCAATCCCAATCACTCCACAAATGAAAGCGAGGTATCATTGCCAAAACAACGGTGGATATTCCGAGCAAAGCTTAATACGGAGATCAGAATTTTCTGTTAAATTTGTTCACCACGGCCAATACTATAACACACTGCTAACTTCATACACGTACTCGCGTGCACCCCGTCACTAGGCTGAATTCATGTTACCTCCCTGGCTCAAAAGCATCCTCAATTGCTACCCACTTCAGTCGTGGGACGCTGCTGTGCGCAACTGACTGCCACGTTTCACCCACAAAATATTACAGTCGATTCGCTTTACAGTATATTCTGTGAAGCGCTTTGAGACGTCTCAAAGATGTGATGAGGCGCTATATCAAATGCAAGGATTATTATTATTCAGCCACAATAAAAGCTGGGAACCTTCATATTCTGTGGGTTAAGGACTGCACTGTGGTGGCTGTATACTTGCTGCACACCTAGCCACAGTGGAGTCTATATTAACAGACTATATAATTCAGAATTAAGCGCTAATTCTAAAGCAAAGCTGCTGGAGCACGCACCATGCTGTGGGAAATCGGACTGCTAACTGGTACCTACACAAAACCTTTCTAAGCTCCAGCAAAGCTTTGAGGGGACCAGACCTAACTACCTTTTTTTCCTCTCCACTTAACGCGAAACGTTCTACCGCCGGAAAAACATATTCATTGTGTCACTGTGTTGCCGTCGTACCTCATTTTCTCGAAGTCTTCCATTACTCTAATAAACTCCGCTTCAGATTCCTCTGCCCTCTTCTCAGCCTTTTGTAAACGTTGAAGAAGAGCTTCCTCGACTTGATTTTCTCCATCTATCCGCTCGGACGAAGAGGGCTGTTCCTCCGAACACTTCGACTCGCAGATTTCATCTACATCTGAAAAGAAAAACACAAATGTAGTCTCTCTAACAACAACCAGGGGTCCATGCTAATGCTCTATAACAGGTTCTAAGGACCTCACTCATGGACATGAAATAGTCTGGGGGGAAATAGGGAGACATAGCAACCAACAGTGACTCTTAAAAGTCATTATGATTAAAACCCTTCTTTTTTCTACCCATTTCTGCATAGATTTGTCTGTAATTTTATGTAAACACACAATGCTCCATTTTTGAGGGCTCCCAAAAGACAGCACTGAAAATCCATTACAGTTTTGTCAGTTATCAGCATAAAATGCTTAACATGAATTATGCAGAGAAAAGATGTGTGCCGCCACTGCTAGCTGCTTTGATTATTTAATTGTAATAACTAGAAATTCCATAACATTGGTGCGAGGCTGTGCGGAATAAATTACACAACAGCCATCACGTTCCAGCTATTGCTTTGAGATTTATTTTGCTTCATTTTTTTAAAAAACATATTGCTGCACTTCCTCACACTTAATCACTTACTGCTTTCAAGCACTTGAAATTGAGATACTGTACTTCAGCTCAATTCCCTGTGCATTCGTACTCAAAATGACACGAGGCTGTGAGGGGACATAACCGTCCAGAATTGCTCCAAGCCGCAGGTGTAAGCACTTGTACAACAGGTGAGAATGCGATTCACACCTTCCTCAACAAGTCTGCACAATGCACTTGAAACCCCAAATACTCGATCGAGTATTTGTGGTGCACCAACATGGCTTTCCTCATTCCTGAGCAGATGATACTTTTGGTCTCCAGGATAGACTACCAGATTGAGACTCAACCATGATAAACTTGAAGGTGGCTTTGTGATGGCGTCGAAAATACCCTTGAATCAGCACCACCTTCAAAACACTGTATTGGAAGCGATGACAAACAAAGGATCCAAAAAGTCAACCAAATTGGTTTGTTTTAGAAAAAAGATAAACTGTAGGAAGGCGTTATAGTGATTCTGCCCAGACTCAAATTGTGATTTCCCACAAATACCTCAATTTATCTTATGTTAATAATATTGTGATCTCTCAGTGCATCAAATTGTCACCAATAAAGTTATGCCAATTCTTTCAAATATATTATGTAGGCTGGTGGTGAGAATCCCTCTTTGAAACCCAATGATTCAGTAACTGTAGACCACAATATCATTCTCCATATCATTGCACTACAAAAATAAAAAGAGAAGAAATCTGGCATACCAAACTGGAGTAAAGGATCCTCCTTAGAGGTAGGTTTCATATATTCTTCTTCATCCCAGGGGACTCGACCAGAAATGGATTTAAAAGATTCCGCGACTGGATTCTGCATAAGAAATAAAACTGTTGTTCTCTTTACTGCATTGACCAATACAATACTATAATATAAATTCTAAGTATATCAAAACTGCCCTACAAGAATTTGCATTTATAGACTGGCCTTCACGTAGGACATCTGACGGAGTTGGATGCCGAGCAAGGGAAGAGGGTAGAGGATGGTTGGAAGAAGTTATCAGAGGTGCAATGGAGGAGGCAAGTTTTTAGGCAGGATTTAAAGATGGATAAAAATAACGAAAAATAATAATAATCTTTGCATTTGTTACAGCACGTTACCGGGTCATCAAGACACCTCAAAAGATATGCTACAAAGTCAGTTGACTGCACATTTTGTGGGCACACTGGCAGCTACTTGCGCACAGCAATATCCCACAAACAATCATGGAGAGAGTGACCCATTTTATTTAGGGACTTTATTGGCCATAAATTAGATCAGACTATAAGAACACACACTCTCAAATGGACAAGGCAAACGAAACAATTGATACAAGCCAAATTTGCTTTTCAATGTGTATAAGTTGTCATAATAGATCTTTGATAACCTATAGGCATAAAGACCTCCAAAGATGTATTTTTCCTGGATTGTACAACAGCCCTGCAAAGGATTTCAAGAAATGTTGAAAACATAGTTAGAATATCCGAGACGAGTTAAAATAAAAAGCAGACAATTTTCTCTAAACAAACACCAGAAACGTACCGTGTTTCTAATGAAATTAATAAGCTTGATGTACCCATAGAAATCAAGGCCTGAAAAGAAAACAGAAAGTTGTTACATTCTTTTTAGTTTCTGTTATATTGATGTTTACACATCTTGCACCCACTTACATTCAGAAATGGGTCTTTCAAACACAGAATACACGACTGACATGAGCCAACATTTCTTCCTGGGCCTTGATGAATAATGGCTAACTTACCGTGCTTTTCGATGACTTGTTTGATATCAAACTGATGCTCTGCTTCACAGTGAGAAAAAGTATCTTGAGCTGAAGCAAAGAGTCTGCATGTAGAAAAACAAGATTTAAAATAAAAATAATTTTCCCCAGTAACTCGGTGGGTAAATGCAACACCTGGACCAGAACAGAGCCAGACAGACCCACCCGCAGCACTGATAAATCCCTGGTCAGGGCAAACGTAGCTGATGTGAATTGAGTTGTCTGTGGTCAACACATGACAATTTGTTCCTCAGTGGCCCAGGGCAGAGAAATAGTCGTCATTCCTGACCACAATGCAGTGACCGTCAGTAGAAAGTATTTGCAACGCAGCAACGTGAATTATTCCTACGAATAAAATGTTGTGCGAGTTACAAGATACAATTGTGAAACAACAAAGGCTAACGTACCTCTCACAGAACAAGCACCGAACCTGAGGCTCCCCAGGGGTCTGACTTTCAGCATCTTCCCAATCACACCACACCTCGTCGTCACTCTCTAACAGTTCAGGCATTTCCTCAGCAACGTCCCCTCTGTCTAAAGGCAAGAAACAAAAACAAGGGAGAAGTCAGGACATTTTTTGTAAAGAAAAGCATAAAACATCTGAAATTGCTGAAATTCTCCCCATCACGTTATCGGATTCATTGCAGGTGAGGTGCACAGCTTCCCCCTCCCCCCAAAGATGGTTCTGGCATAATAAAGACTTCCTTTGGCTTCATAAGGTGAAATATAAGCGGATCCCAGTCAAGAATAACATGTATTCAGTAAGCGCCTTATCACGTCTCAAAGAGCTTCGTGGAATATATTTGTAAAGTGTATTTTGTGGGCGAAACGCGGCAGTCAATTGCCCAGAGCAGTGGCCCAGGGACAGTTGCGGATTGAGCGACCAAAGGTTTTTTTTTGCCGAAGATTATCCCCGTTAGATACGAAACTGGTGAGCAGTGCATTGGTGAGGAGAGCATCATGAGGGGGTACAGGTGGGGCATAAGGGGGGGTGGGGGCTGTAAGCAAGCAATGTAGCTCCTTCCACCTTACCGCCTAGACTGGACATTTACACCAAGGATCTAAAAGTCACTTTATTTTAATTAAAGCTCTATCGGGAGAGAGTGAGTGGGTGAGTGGGGGAGAGACAGAGCTCGTCTCACCATAGCTGATGTGTGACTGCAAACTGAACCACGTCAACCTTTTTTTTAAACAAAAGGGTACGACTGCTGAGCTGACAGCACCTCAGCCTCTCTCCGGACACTCACTCACACACGCACACACTCACACTCACTCACACACACACACACACACACGCACTCACTCTCACACACACACACTCACTCTCACTCACACACAGGCACTCACTCTCACACACACACACACTCACACACACACTCACTCACTGAGAGAGACGGCCGTGTAATTGACTGTGTGTGTGGGTGTGTGTGTGAAAGTGTGTGTATGGGTGTGTGTGGGTGAGTGTGGGGGAGGGTGTGCGTGTGGGGGGTGTGTGTGGTGTGTGTGTGGGGTGTGTGGGTGTGTGTGTGTGTGGGGGGGGTGTATGGGTGTGTGTGTGTGGGGGGGTGTGTGGGGGTGTGTGTGTGTGTGGGGGGGGGGTGTATGGGTGTGTGTGTGTGGGGGGTGTGGGTGTGTGTGTGGGGGGTGTGTGGGTGTGTGTGTGTGGGTGTGTGGGGGGTGTGGGTGTGTGTGGGGGGGGTGTGGGTGTGTGTGTGTGTGGGGGGGTGTGGTGTGTGTGGGGGGGTGTGTGTGGGTGTGTGTGGGGGTGTGTGGGGGTGTGTGTGTGGGGGGTGTGGGTGTGTGTGGGGGGTGTGGGTGTGTGTGAGTGTAAAAAAAATGATCCAAATCATAGCGAAATGCAGTGTTTCCCTGAGAGCCGCGGAGGCCGCGCGGCGACATTGTTACCAGTGAACCCCGAGAGCGGCGACACTGTTGCTCTCGGGGAGTCTCTGTGGATACAATGTCGCCGGCTCCTCCTCACTGCCGCCGCCGCACGTTTAAGGGCTTCGTTGACCAGTGGGTTCCGACCACACGTGCGTTTACCTCTCTCTTCCGCCATCTTCCAGCGACCAGTTGTTGTCAGCCACACGGGGGGGGGGGGGGGAGAGAGAGAGGGGGGGAAGGGGGAGAGAGAGAGAGAGGGGGGAAGGGGGAGAGAGAGAGAGAGAGAGAGGGGGGGAGAGAAATCACTCACTATCCTTTCCACTTCCAGGTCACTGCAGATTTTTAATTCACTGCAGAAGGAAGTACTTGGGGTTTTCTTTATCTCTATGGGGGGGGGTCGGGGGGGGGTTATGGGGTTAGTAATTCGGCTGCGGGTACATATTTCTGCACATTCTCCTTTTCCAGTGGAAGCCCCGAAATGCACAGTGTTACTTTTGCAAAAGCTCTCACACACTCACTCACTCACTCACACACTCACCACCAGACTTATTGTATTGCCTGTTCATTGCCTGTCCCGCTCACAGCTCCATCCATCCCCCCCCCCCGAGAAATGCCATCGTGCGCTTGTTTTGACTGGGAAAACAGGAAGGAAAAGGTGATTGGGTGGAATGGGGGGAGGGGAGAGGGTAAGAGTGGGGGAGGGGGGAGGGTAAGAGTGGGGGAGGGGGGAGGAGAGAGGGTAAGAGTGGGGGGAGGGTAAGAGGGGGGAGGGTAAGGGGGTTTAGAGGGTAAGAGTGGGGGGGGAGGGGGTAAGAGTGGGGGGGAGAGGGTAAGAGTGGGGGGGGAGGGGAGAGGGTAAGAGTGGGGGGGAGGGGAGAGGGTAAGAGTGGGGGGGAGGGGAGAGGGTAAGGGGGAGGGGGGGTAAATTTCACAGTGTTGTGTAGATCTTACACGGGAGGGATCTGTGTTTTTTTTTACGCAACGTATCGGTTAGTTTTTGTTGAGTTCTTGAGATCGCCGGCTGTGGGGTGTTTGTGGGGAGGGTTTGGGGTTTGGGATGGGGGGGGGGGGTTTGTGGGGGGGGGGCCGGGTGGGGAGCCGGGTGTCTTGACACCTGCAGAAACCCCTCACCTTTGCTTGAGAGTCTCCAAACCGAACTGAGAATTCCAGACTTTCCCACCTCCGCGTGGAAATTCGAGATGGCGTGTCGGGGATGGAGAACGCTCTTCCCTGGGCGGAGCCATCTCTGCTTATCTAATTCCGGAAAGTTCCGGCCACGTTCACGTTGGCTGCTGTAAGAGTTCCGAGACGCTGTATCTCAGGGTAAAAAGCGTTGTCCTCTCCACCCGGGTACGTTTAACCCAGCGATGCATTCGTTGACGATCTAAGTTGCCCCGTGAACGCTGCCTTCGTGTTAAACCGATGCCCTGCCAAGGAGGGTGGTCGAGGCAGAGTCCCATGCGGGTTTCAAGAGGGCAAGTAGACAGGTATAATAATCATCCTTGCATTTGACGCAGCATTTATATCATTGAGACGTCTCAAAGCGCTTCACAGAATATGAAGGATACGGGCCTAAAAGGGTTAATGGTATGATATTACCAAACTAGGACATTGCTTGGTCCTATAGTGGGCGTAGGCTTTATGTTTAAGCTGTGTGTAGAAAATACACCGTATTTGTTTAGCAGACATCAAACACCGTCCAAGAGAGAATCAATAAGTTCTCGGGTTAAAGCTTTGCCAGTGACGACGCATTAAGCTTCAAATACGTGGCGTTTCAAGATAACCGAAACTTCGAAATTCTAGTTAAAGATCGCACGCGTAAAATGCAATACACGTAGAGATGCAGTGATCGAATGACGGTGCGGGCGGAGATTTAGCAGGGGGTTTGAAAGCACTACACTGGGCAAACAGAAACTCTCCGAAGGTAAAAGTGACCCAAGAACTAAAGCGACCTCACAGATTCAGAGCGAAGAAGAAAGTTTCACCGCGGGATAGGCAAGAATATCGTGTTGTGTTCTGTGTACTTCTGCCATTGAACAGTAGAGTGTGCTGTCCACGCAATCAAACAGCACAAAAGGATGGTGAGGGGCAAACGGTTTGATTTTTCCCCTCGTCGTTGAACAATTTAAAACTGGAAATGCGACATCTGCGAATGTGCATTTTCAGCATATTGAAAAATGTAAATGAATGAATGACTGCTGAATCATTCAGTTACACAAAAATTCAACCGGTGTCTTAACGATGGAGCATTTTAGAGCATCCATGATAATAATTAGTCACTACCCTTCTGCATTTCACAGCAAGTAAATATTTATTGTTTTTAACATTTGATACGGTGCAAATCACATAGCGCCCCATTCATATCAGAGACGTGACTAAAAGGGCTAAATAATCATTAATAATAATCCTTGCAGTTGATATAGCGCCTTATCACGTCTTCGAGAAGTCTCAAAGCGCTTCACAGAATACACTGTAAAGTAAATCGAATGTATATTTGTGGGTGAAACTCGGCAGCCAATTGCCTATGTACAGTCGTGGATTGAAAATGACCAATTTATTATTGTTTTGGAGGGATTATTATTAGGTGTGTGGAGTAAGGAAACTTGCCCAAGGTTTCGCCCTCTGCCTGGAATTGAACCCAGGTCTCTCGCTTGCAAAGTGAGTGCTCTAATCACTGAGCTACAGGTCTCCACGTCCATCTTTACTCCAGTAAATCTTAACAAGATTTAAGATCTAACCCTAACCCTAAAGTGTAGTGTAGTGACCGTGTATGTACCCCTAATACCTAATCTATTTTATGAAAGTACAGTATACTTGAAATCATAAATACCTCACTTTCCTCAAAATAATTGCAAGAAATGTTGTGTTTTTAAAACTTAATTAAAAGAGAAGATGCGCAATGACTTTTGAAAAAAGTTATCACTATATTATAAAAATGAGAAAATGTTACCAGAACTAAGGCACTGTGCGTACAGGCTCGAAGGTGATATTTCAAACACAATGAGTTCTTGATCTTAGCCAATTCATCTGCGATATGTCAAATAGAACCAAGTTCCCTGCAAGGATTTTGTTGGTGTGGGGGGGTGGGGGGTGGTTAGAGATGAAGAATAAATCTCTTTGGAGAATTATCAAAAAAATAACTACTTGCCGCTTCACTTTTGTTCCCCAAGTTTGCCAAGCGTGTGAACAACCTTATTCTCAAATAATTCCACTTTTTTGTCGAGTGGTAACACAACATTGTTCACCATGGCCTTCCCTACTAATGAGGTGGGGATGGATATCGCAGTAGGAAATACGTAAGATATGGGGCCGAGGACTTTTCTTGCCGCCCATTCCATTGGCCGCGATTCTTGTCTGTCGCACATCAGTATTCTGTTTTAAATAAATACATAAATACATAAATACATAAATACATAAACACATAACACACGCACACACACACACACAGGTTCAACCAGGAGTCACTGAATATTGATCAGAAGCAGCAACCCTGGTTACCCTGTTTTTCCTGTTTCACCGCTGGCTTTTTATAACCCTCAATCATTTTCTTTCAGACAACAGCCCAAATAACATGCACCCCACTCGACTTCACTCATTGCATATTCGACCCCCCCCCCCGCCTCCCCCCAAAATCTTCTTGGAATAGGAGTGGGTTCAGGTTGGTCAAATCGGCTAGACCTTTAGCCGAAAATAATAATAATAATAATCCTTGCATTTGATCTGTAGCACCTTAACACGTTGAGACGTCTCAAACGTGCTTGAAAGGATATACTGTAAAGTGGAAATGACTGCATTTTGTGGGCGAAACACGACAGCCCGTTGAACTGCGCACTGCTTCGGAAAGGACTTGTTAAGACCACACATTCCTTACATAGCTTTGACACTCATTCACGCATAAGGTCAGAGTTCAGCAGCCTACATATTTATTTGGCAAATGTAGCGAGAATGAGTGTCTACCAAAAAAAAGACAAACGACCCTGTCCTTTTATTCACAGTAAAAACGAACACATCCACAGAAATACAATAAGACCTCAGAAAAATCATACGTACCCAGGTCGAAAGATGCTGTATCGATCAAAGCCCAACTCCTCAACAGCTGCTTCTATTTGACCCTGGTAAAAACAATAAACACAAATACATTTTTTTTTAAAAAATATAAAGTAAATTAACAACAACAACTCGCACTTATTTAGCGCCCTCCCCGCAGAGTAGCATCTCAGAGCACGTACAATTACGAATCCACCTGAATTGAAACTTTTCTCTCAAATTGCTGCGCTGAAGATGACGTTACCGTGAAAAGCGTTTTGTTAAATGCTGGACGTGTACAGGAAAATTCCACAGTGTCAATAATGAAAGACGTACAGTGGGCTGAGGCCCCGACTCGGTCACGAATGCTGGGCCCAAGGCCAGCCTGTGGTTTGTAGCATTGTTGTGCCAGTGAGCAGGATATTGGCCTGACGCAAACAAAATTTGAACGTGGCCAATATAGTGCTAACCAGCTGATTGCTGTGGAATGTCCTGTCGGACAGACAGCGTGTTGCAAGTCACTCAACAACGACGACGACAACTTGGACTTTTTGAGAGGGGGCCACTCTGTTGATAAACACGGATTTGTGTACCTTAATTCTTGTGTACAGTACCGAACTGTTCTTATCTGCTCCTTTGGAGGACTGCAAGGTAAAGTGAGTGCATCCACCAGCTTTTGCCAGCTTCGCTGACTTTAACACGTAATCATAATCCACTCGAACAAAACCTTCCTGCAAAACAAGGTAAACAAAGATGTCATTCCCACACACAGCACAAAGGAGATCAAAATCGAACATTGCAACATAGGCAGAGCCGTGACTCATGTGAAAACAAGGGCAATAGTTTAGCGCTGTTAAAATAATCATCCTTGTGTTTGAGTCACAGTTCACTTCAGCTGCTGATCTTACTTCCGGTGATCTGGTCAAAGGCAGTTTTGAAAACCAAAGCACCCATGTTCTGGCTGGTCACCTCCAGGCCACTTTCCTCACGGGATTCACTATTCCCCCCACCTTGATCCGTACTCTTATTTGCAAACTGATTCTTTAGATAACTACAGTAATCAAATGGGCCTGTATCAGAAGACGCATGTAATAATAATAATTCTTGCATTTGATATAGTGCCTTATATCTTCGAGACGTCGTAAAGCGCTTCACAGAATATACTGTGAAGTGAATTGACTATATTTTGTGGGCAAAACATGTACATTTCCGATTTGAAGCTCTTAACATGTGCAACAGGTCCATCTCCCAGTCACTTTCCTTACCAAAGTTACAGATTTCTGAACCACACGTCAACGCTACTCTCAAAATTATAGATATTGACTTTAATGCTCACAGAGTGTGGATTAAAGCTTATTCCCAATATTACTCAGTTTAAATCATGTGCTTTGCTACATTTGCTACAGATCCAAAAAATGTGGAAACTAATATTTCATAGATTTCACAAGTTACTTACATAAGATTCACCATCTGCACTCACCAACCATTTGCTCACAAAGCATTAGTGTTTCAAGCTAAGTGAATGAGGGGAAAATGTTTTTTTTTAAAAAGCGGAGGCATATAAGAAAAATCTTTCAAACCATTGCCACAAAATACCTGCTAAACAACTAGACCTATAACCATTCTTCTGCAATTTTTAAAATTTTATTTTAAAGTAAAAGTTCTAATAAAATAATAAGTGACCTCCCACATTGATTTTTCAAACACATTTTAAACTCTGTGCCACTATGGAAATACTGAATGGTGTTTGATGCCACATTGATTTCAGCTGAATTCATTTCAGCTCTCCTCCCCCACCCCACCCATCGCCCACTAGTTTATGTTGAAGAACACAAACGGAGCCACACACATAACAGAACTTTACAGCTTCAAAGTGCTAAATACAAGTTAATTATTCAATAACTGCTATGCTGGTAGGAGTTTAACTGAATTAAAATGAAGCCCAATTTCTCTGCCCTTAGTTCTTGGTCAGCGTCCTAAAACAGAGGTCAGTTGACAGGGATGCACAATGGTCACTTGACGAAATGTAAACTGACATAAATTCTGGAGCTCACTTTAAATCCGATTACGCAGCTAAATCACATCAATACCAGCCAGCCAACAGACGCTGGCGTCCCTTATTCAGAACAGCTACTAACAAGGAACAAGCCCTTCCTTCTAAACAAGAGCCCACGCCACCACCTCAAACACCCACGCTCAACCATCATCCCCTCTCAATAGGTTCCAGTTGACAAGGTGCCTTGCTGCTCTTTATGAACTTGCCCCAAACAAAGCAAAATATTGTCTTATTAGCAGCCAATGGACTGTTAATCCTGAACATTTTCAAAAAAAGCAACCGTTAGGTTCCCTAGGTGATTGAAAACATTGAACTTCATCGGGGAGAATTTCAATAAAGGGGATAACTCGTACGTAAAAATTGAGATGTGTTTCCTGAATGGCAGGATGTTTCAAGGGCCACTTTCAGGCTCATGTCATGCAGCATTCAGTTAGTTCTTAAGTATTTTTAAACTTGGGAAAATCCGCCACGTTCTGTGCTGCATAAAAGACAAGGAAAAAAAACTCATCGGGTTTTGAATGTAAAATAACATAAATTAATCGTTGCATTTTATATAGTGCCTTATCACATCAACAAAACGTCTCAAAGCACTTCACAGGATTTACTATCAAGTGTGTAGTCACTGTGCATTTGTGGACAAACACAAGCGCCAATTCGCGCACTGCAATATCCCACAAACAGCCATGAGGTGAACAACCAATTTTATTCAGAGGATTGTTGGCCAGGACACAGGGAGAAACTCCCTTCCATTTTCAAATAGCGCTATGGGATTTTTAACATCGACCTAAACAAGCAGATAGGAATGTGGTCTATGCCATTACCCATTACCAGTCAAGGTGGTTCCCTTGACTGATCGCTAACCAACAACACCTGCTCACGTGGTTGACTCAGATAATGCGACAAAAACAAAAGCAGATTTATTTTCCCAATACCTCGGGAATCCCGATATCCCCGTGTTTTCGAAGTGCTTCTCCTTACCGAACCAGCCTTCGATCTGGTCGTCCCCAGGCAACAGAATCCCAAGTCATGACCTTGGAAAGCAGATGCATGTTCATCCAGTTTCTCAAAATCTACAACTTCCTGGATCTGTTGGATGAAAAGAAGACAAATTAATTCTGCTGCTGTCTTTTGGTTCCAATTCAAGCCACAAAAAACACAGAGGGTTATTAGCCTCGTGAGGAGGTAAAGACAGTCTAATTTTGTAACACCAAAAAATAAATAAATGCAATTCCTGGATTCCTTTAGCACCAGCCGGAAGTGATTGGCGCTGGACCAAATATAAGGATTATCATTATAAACAGACTTGGTACTGGTTCACCCAGAGGTAGTAAATTTGACAAATATCCAAACAAAAGCCTAAATTAACAGCTTTAGAAACAGTGAACATAAATAACAATAGGGCATGGGGGTGGGGGTGGGGGGGAGGAAGAGTGTGAAAATAGAATTATAAGACAGAAATTTGTGATAATGTTCACTCGAAAATTTAATTGTTACCATTGCATCAAATTTGTTTTGATATTTCAAATGAGAAGTCAATTACTCGAAGCACTTGGATGGCAATGTGCCACAAGTCAATTAAACACACAACAAAGGTTTCTCCAGCTTCTAGCACACATGCCAACATTGCTCAGCTAATGCCTGGCATCGTCTAAAGTCTGGTGAAGTCATGTTTACTGCAAAGGTAATTATCTTAATACAGTCCTGTCAAAATTGTTTTCAGCAACTGCTGGTCGCTGCAAAGCGTGTCTGTACGCTGACATGGCTACAAAAGAGTGGCCACTGGCTGCGTTAAGACAGGCGATTGCTGCATAGAGATGGTTTATTGTGGAAAATCAGTCGGGAATGTTCCACAATAGTTGTTGACAACAGGTGGTTCCTTTAACAGGTTTGACTGCACACTCCTTTGAACGACTGTGTACTTACCACGTTCTTATACATTTCATCCTCGAAGGTAAGTGTTCTACGGCCGATGATGACAATTTTGGAAAAGAGCTGGCTCTTAATAATCTCCTCGAGCAACTCTTTCCCCGTTTCCCCGGACGCTCCAAGGACAAAGCAAGACTTATTTAGCATCTTAAAGCTTTGACGGAGGGCATCCATATCGTGTGACATTCTGTAACGAAAGAAAGCAATAAACTCGGTGAATAGTGAATGGTACACTTCCAATTATCTTTGTCATTTTTAATCAGATGTAAATGACCGGGGAAAATGAAGCACCGAAAACAATCCCTTGCCGCTTCTGAAGATATAACACATGCTGAGCTGCAGGTCAACAGCTGCGGGCAGGCACACAGCGGAGACGGTCTTGCCAGCCACCTCTCCAGATACAAATGTGGATCTCAGCAACCTACTGAAATAACCGTGCAAGGGTGTGGCACGGCCCGTTTTACAATCCAAGGCCTTCTCTCTCCAGTCATGCACTCTAACACAGGGTTGGAAACCTAGGACAGTTAATCTCCACCACTCCCCCGCGCGCCCCCCACCCCCACCACCCCCTTACCATGCCCCAAGGGACACCGATGCCGACTACAGTGACTCCAACTTACTCAACTTACCCCCCCGGCCCCCACTCCCCCAAAGAGTCACCTTTCAAAAAGACTGTCTCTCCCCCAATGGTACTCTGTCTCTCCCCCAATGGTACTCACAGAGTAGAATGACATTGCATTTTTTCACCTTGGAATTTTCAAGCAAACAAAACGTCAGGAATTCAAAATAGGAAATCCTATATATAATATATATATTTATATTTATATATTATATATATCTAAACAAATGATTTTTATCGCTTCACCTATAGCCTGTGCTCTGCCTGAAACATCTGCCTGACTTGGCTTGGTCCGGAACTGGGAGTCTTTGTACCTGAAACAAGGAAGAGTTTGTGGATCTGGGTTTTCCAGCTGATAGAGCAGATAGGCTGCTGAAAGCACCAACAGGCTCAATAAAGCTGCTGCATTAAACCAACTGCACACGAGAATTGTCATACTCCGGCTCAGGGAGCTGGGATTCTCAAACCTTTTCACCCTTTTTTCGCTTCCTCCTTTCTGTCACCAAACGCGGTCTGTCTGTGTGGAATGAGCACTTTGCACCACATCTTCCTGATGTGGTGGCCAACTCTTTGCTGCCCTCTGCTTTAGAGGACTGCACAGCCAGTGAAAGTACAGCATGATGTGGGGGTGGGGGGGGAAAAGAGGCAATAATAATAATCATCATGATAAAAATAATAATTCGGTCACTTCAACCCACCGCTGTTTGGAAAGGTTTACTTCGCTAAACCATAACAATGATAATCCTTGCATTTGATCTGGGGCCTTATCACGTCTTTGAGATGTCTCAAAGCACTTCACAGAATACACTGTAAAGTGAATTGACGGTATATTTTGTGGGCAAAAATGGGTTTATACCTGACTCCCCGAGGGTGTTGATGGTAAATAATAATGATAATAATCCTTGCATTTGATATAGAGCCTTAGCGCATCGTTCAGACATCTCAAAGCGCTTAACAGAATATATTGTGAAATGGATTGACTGTGTTTTTTGTGGGCGAAACATGCAGTGCAGGAATAACCATTCAGATTGGAAGGTTGCAAGTCTGAATCCTATATTATCCCGTGTAAAGGGCTCTATATAAATGAAAGTAGTTGTTGCCTTACAGACCCACTAGTCACTTTCCAAACAGAATGCAAACCTTGTAATGCTATTCAGTTCAAACTTCAACATAAAATGATCTGTTTTCTGCTGTTGCATTAGCTATTTTCACCCGGTAGAGGGCAGAACAGACAACACACTCATAGTGTAAATTCTTCAAAGTAAGAAGATGACGTATCAGTAAACTGCAAACTCAGGCCTGTGAAAAGCGAGATAGATGTACAATATAGAACCACACCAAATAAAAGTGCAATGAAGCAGTGCGGGTGGAAGATATCAGGATTACCTGTTTGAGCAAAGTGTGTTTGTTCATTGTGTACATTTTTTTTAAAAAACTTACATAAAAATGAAGACAGTTTTTAAATTATTGAACCAGGAAACAAGATATTAATCGGGTTCTTGCTGTTTCTGTTGAGTAACCTGACTCATAAAACTTTTGTAGTGCAAAGCAAGTTACTTTAACTCATAATTCAATTTATTGTTTTGGCCAATTAATAGACAGTTGTTTGGGAATATTTCACCATATCAAACTAAATAAATTATTTCCACATAAATCACTGTATATTTAAACTCTTATGATTTCCATGTCTGTTGTCTCTACTTGCAAAAAATCATGTAATCAAGACCGTTTGAAAACAGATCATTTTTAAAGAAAACATGTGACAAGGTTTCAGTTTTCTCATCAGCATCTTGTATGCTTTTAACCACAATACTGTTAAATCTATTTCTTCGGTTGTGACTGAAGCAAATTTGACATCTGTTTAAAATAAGATTTTGAATTTCACAGTGCAATAGATTACACCCGGCAGCTGCCCACTGCTATTCCCAACTATTCCCCTGACTATAGTCATCAAAGTCACCACTTATTTTCCTTTAAAATACTGGGTTTCGCTTTAATTTAAGCAGTGATGCATTCTGCATGTGATGTGCTATGAAGCTGAGAATACTGTCTGCATGTTGAAACTTAAAATGAGTATCTTATCCTCAACTCTGCGGTACAGTGAGGACAGATTTAGTCATTTTTACTATTCAGTCACGGTTCCAGCCATCAAAAGTCTTTCAATTGAATTTAAAGCACAAGAAAGCGCAGAACAAGAAAATAATGGTAATTTGGGCCGTTGGGCTAATTCCATCCACAGACCACTCAAAACCAATGCCATCATGGACTCCAGCCACTCCTTGTCATGTGGCAAAGATTTGGGATAGATACTCCCAGATTCCCAAAAGTAATCAATCAAAAACTCCAGAATATTCAATGCATTCTTCCCCAGACACATCCCCATTGTTTCCAGACCGTAATCTAAAAAGTAATACTCATATACTGTACCAAATTAGTTGCTTTATCACAACTTCCAGTTCATGAATGCAAAATTGCACAATTAATGCAATCGATCCGATTTGACAATGTACTGTATTGCTTTTTTTTAAGAACTTATCGTGTTATGTGATGTTTAAATGCTGTAAAATTCTATATCATTTTTAAAACTATTCCAATTATTGTGTTCTTTTATGCCCTCTTCACTATTTTGCTCCCTTTTACACAGAGGTAATCAATGTTTCCTTTCATGCAAGATAGCATTTATTTAATAGCAGTCTCAGCTGACACACCAATGGAGTGCTGGGGGAGCAATACCTTGTTGAGGTGCAGTTCTTCGAACGAGATGTGAAACCAGCTGGATGCTAGGGATCCTATGGTACAATTCAAAAGTGAAGGATGTTTCTCCTGGTGTCCTGATCGATAATCTCCCAGATAAAATTGACAATTCATTTCATCACTATTTGTGCACCATTTGTGGCACTGACGTGCATAACTCGACTGTTGCATTTGCCTACAAATAAACAATCACTGTACTTTGGAGTAAAATCCTATTGAGTGCTTTGAGATGACATGATAAGGTGCTGTATCAAATGCATGATATTTTGTTGATCTCTTACAACAACAACAACTTGAGTTTATACAGCAACCATCGAGTCAGATAGCAGATTTCAAATGGTAATTCCCTTGGAAAAACACAGCACAGTCCACATATCCTACAACGATAGTACTCCGAATGTGTATAATATTTTACTGGAGCAATTTTACAGCTACAAGAAAGTTAATAGGAAATATACATGATAATAATAATAATAATAATCCTTGCATTTGATATAGCGCTTTTCACGTCGGGAGGACGTCCCAAAGCGCTTCACAGAACACACTGTAAAGCGAATTGATTGTATATTTGTGGGCGAACGCGGCAGCCAATTGCGCACAGCAATGTCCCACAAAAGTCGTAGATTGAAAATGACCAATTTATTATTGTTTTTGGTTTTGGAGGGATTATTATTAGGCGTGTGGAGTAAGGAAACCTGCCCAAGGTTTCGCCCTGCATGACTGAAAGCTGAGAGGCGACATATATACTTAATAGTATGCACAGCTTGTTTCGTGCGAGAGAAGGTTTCTGCATCTCTGTATTAAATATTTTGCTTGAAGTATTCAGCACAACACTTTAAATTGTGAACATGACCTCCACTGCGACCTGCTCGAGCTGCAAGTTTCGCCAGCTGGACGTAACCTTTAATGTAGAAGCCTGGATGAGGAGTTAGGAGGGTCTTGGTGCTTCCATGCTGGAATACTAATGACAGTTATTAATGGGGGCTGACAGAACAATCTGCTTCACATTGTTCTGTAAGTGCAAGCTACTGATCACATTCACTGGCTTTAGGTGATGGGAGACAGATTGATGCAAATCTATCCTGCTGCGAGGTGGTCTGTGTACAGATGATCCTCTCACTCAAACAGCAGGGATTAGATTAATTAGCGTGATTCTTTGTCTTCAAAGGGAAAGGACAAAGGATTTATTATATTGCAGAGGATTTCGTAAATATGAGTGCTGTTTTGGTCAGCGGGCTTTTCAACTAGGTATGAAATTTTAAGGCGTTTCTTTCAATTGATCACTTCACTTCTTTTTCAGTTGTTCTTCTTATCGGAGGAGTTCCTAGTGAATTTACAGTCCTCGATCTTTCTTTTTTTTAAAAAAATGTAAAATTAAACTGCTTAACAAATGTATTAATTAATTTGAGGACTTTTTTTTAAAAAAATGGCAAAATCAGAAAAATCCTGCAGGTTCCTAGACTTCATTCAGAGAATGTGATGAGTGAAACAAATTACGTGATTCAATGCTTAATGAAAATGTTGCTATTCTACATTGCAATTCAAAGGTTGGGAAAAATCACAGTCACTTGTGTATATGTTTCAATTCCACCATGAAAGTATGAAGCAAAAGAGAAAGTAAATGATTCAACCTACATTTATCCATATTGATCTATCAATATATATGCCAACAATCGCATGTTAGTGTTTGCCTTACTAACATACAAATTCTTCCAAACACTCAATAGTGATGTTTCCTTGAGATTTTACTGTTGTTGGGATTGTTGAGATACCAGAGGGCAGCAAATGAACAGCCAGATCCTGTCCTGAGTCAATATTTATTGATGATGAAGAGGAGAGGAGATTTTTCTATTGGAGAGTCACCTGTACTCTTCCTTGGCTGGAAGATAATGCAGCTCTTCATTTGTCATCTGAACCGTACACATGTCAAACATGATTGAGATTCAACCTGTGAAAAGCCTCTGAAAATGAAAATTCTGGAGAAAAATTCACATCACCTCCTTAGATATCTGTGTCAGAAGTATTCTCATCACTGAAATAATGAGCGACGAAACATCAATATCAGATTGTAAACACCCTGAGATCATTAACAATTTGCAGCTGTTATACGCCAACTTAGCCTCCAGTGAAGAAATTGTGACCATTGCTAAAGGTTTGCTATCTAATAGCAAAATCAACCTTCAGAACAGGAGGATCAGTTACAAGGACTTTTGGACCATTTTTTTCTGTAACAGATCTGTCTGAAACACGTTTATAAATTCAAATTGCAGCAGATTTTTCTGCCATTTTCTTTGTCAGCTTGAAATGACTGCAGCGTAATTTTTGGGGATATAAAACTAAGGATAATAACAAGGATATTGTCCTTTTCAATGCCTTCTAATGAAGGATAATTGGGGATGACAAGGAAAACCGTATGGGGTCCATTTGCAGATGTTCATTGCATTCAGTTTGATCTCAGCATACCTTATGGCAACCAGTTTTTTTTATTGTCCTTTAATCCACGAGGTCTGGCAAGTCCCAGTGGTCAGTGAATGTCCACAGTGGACAAGGATCATCGGGGAAGCCTGGGGTGAAAGCCTGATCTAGAAGAAAAAGGGCAATACACACATGCTAAGCTTTAAATTCAAGCAGCTTTGGCAAATCTGTTCCTGATGCAGACAGTGTTAGATACTGAGCACTCACCTGATCTCTGAATATGGGCTACAATTCTTCAGTTCAAGAAAAATAAGTTCATCCAATGGGCAAAAAAACATTAGTGTAGTAATAGATGTCTTTGAAAGGCAAGTTCATCCTAGTATTGAGTAACCATTGTCATCA